CTTTTATTTCAGCTCTTGAAATATGGGACCAACACTTTACATGTTGCGTTTATATTTTTGTTCAGTATAGTTCAGTTTTGTTTAGATGTTGTGGAAAAGGCTGAGTAAGACATATAGACTGCCATGGGCATAGCTGTACCGGATCCATACAGTAAAAGTAACCAGTTGACCTACATACCATTCAGTCTAAATACATTCATAATCATTGAAAGAGCATAGCCTTGACAGATGCCGAGAGCATTAGTATGTATCTAAATGTCAATTAATTCAGGGTTATATGACATGACTTGATTGACACCTACAAGTAACAGACTTGACATGACTTGGGTAACACCACAGAAGAGAACACAGTATATATCTCTGTAGGCACACAGTCTCTGTAAGCACCTACAATACTATATGCCATGATTTGCCCGGCCTCTCTTATCCTGTCTGTGTTGTGTTGTATGTGTCATGTGACCTCTGTGTAATTCCAGCCAAGGCTTTAATCAGCCCCTTTATCCGTCTGCTGTAGCCCATTGACGTCCAACTGCTGGATTATCAATGGAGGTGTGTGTTTGTGTGAATGCTCGTTTGCGTCTACTGTTGACAAGAGACAAGACAGAGATTAGCTAAGCCTCATCAGTCATCATGTCATTGAATATTTTGTCCCCTCACAGAGTGACATTACTGGACTAATTCCACTGGACTAGTGGACTAGACCGGACTAATTCCATTATGGCAACCCTGTGAGTGATGATGAGATAAAGATAAGAGCGGCAGGTGGCTTAGTGGTTAAGAGCGTAGTGCCAGTAACCGAAAGGTTGCTGGTTCTAATCCCCAAGCCGACTAGGTGAAAAATCTGTCGATGTGCCCTTGAGCAAGGCACTTAACCATAATTGCTCCTGTAAGTCGCTCTGGATAAGAGTGTATGCTAAATGACCAATTTCATAAAGACACATCTTCTTAGTAATGTCTGCTTAATAGAGGTTAATTGATAGCAGATGGCCGTGTGGAGATTACATTTTTGTTGGACAATTGTTTTGGTAGCTGTTATCAAGGCAAAGGCTAATCAGTTGGCTAAGAGTTGTTTGTGGTTGTGGGTTGATATGTTATTTTGTGATTTGAAATGAGTAGTTGATTCTAAGAAGTCATTCCAATCCAAACAAAGAAATGTCTAGGCAATTAAGACAAAAGCTGATGTGTAAAAGCTGTGCAACTACAAGATAGCAAGATAATTGAAAAATATATATACAGGAGTAAAATATTTTCAAAATGTTCTCCCCTCACTTCACCATTAATATCTTTATTTCGTTCTCTCTCTCTCCTCAGAGCTCCTCAGCTCCAGGCATGGGTGTGAAGGTACTCCAGTGTTTCTCCTGGTACAGACGCTGTAAGGAACGATGCAAGGCTAAACAGTGCCCCCCACCTGCAGGTGAGAGAACTACAGGCTTCCACTTCATAGTTATCCATTGCATTACATACACTATTACATACGTTATCATTATGTCAGAATAACTTCCCAAGGCTGCACACATGATTATCAAACACATACCTTATATTGGAAGACATGTTGAAACAAGTGATCTGATATAACCAGGTATGTCAGAGTTAGGTCATGTTAAAGAAATGCTTGGGGCTCTGCTTATAGTAGTCCATAATATCAACCTCCCAGTATTATAACTGTCAATCAATCATTTATTCATTAATTCCACCCATAACTTCATAATGAATATTGTCCTCTATAAGATGGTGATATTATTAGAATATCAATTAAGTGCATGTCATGTTATATTTACATTACGAAAAGATGCCTGAGGGATCATTCATACCATTATGTATGTTAAATAGCATTATCAAATGATCCCATATAATGTAGACATATAGAGACATGCCAAAGAAAATAATTCTAAAGCGTTGTGTGCTAGTGGTTCAATAAATCTGCTCTCTCTTTTCACCTCATCTCTCTCAATCCCTCCAGTCCCCAGAGAGGAGATGAAGCCTCGCCTGTCGTCTACGGTGTCGTGTGGTAGCCAGGGCGAGGGCGGTAGCAGCCTGAGTGGATCCCAGATCTACTTCTCCAGCAAGGCTCGCCTCTCCTTCAGACACCAGATGGACAGCAACTTCAACGCCGTGGACGCAACCTGCTGAGTAAGAGCAGCCTCGACAGCCTGGGTACTGTTCATTAGGTATCAAATGGAAGAATATAGACTGAATCAGGGAGGGACTACCTGGGCTTGTCCAATCATCATCATGATCACCGCCTTGAAAATGAACTCTCACCTCTCCACTATGGCAGCCATTATTTTAGCTCAACAGAACAGAGAATGCGGCAGAAGTTGAAGATAAAGGACTGAGACTTCATCAGTGGTGTATACATACATCGTTCTCAACTCCCCCTTCAGAGGTGACTGTGAAAGGTTGAATATATCACAGTAGATTGAGTTCTTCGCTACAGAGAAAGACTGAATGCTAATGTAGCTAGTGGAGGTGGAGAAATGTTTACAACATTATTACTAAGTGCATTATTTTCCTTTTATTTTTTGATGGGCTTTTTCTTCCCACCCTTTTTTTCTACTTTCCTTTTTTTCAGTGTGTGTGTTGGGGTGTAAGTTACCACAAACTGCAGAACAATAGTGTCTTTAAAATACTAGCTTTGTATTTATTAGGGACCCCACTCTTCCTGGGGTCCAAACACATGAAGGCACTTACCTCACGCATAAAACAAAAAATAAAACAGTATGTCATATAACATTATTACACCACTACATATCTACAATACACAATGTATAACACCACCATACAACAATATTACAATGTACGTATGTGTAGAGTGCGTGTGCTAGCGTGTGTGCGTAAGAAAATGTAAGCACTCCCAACTTTAAATACAGTTTCTTTTTTCTCCTGACAGTGTCCTCACTTGCTGAGAAAAACATGGTAACTAGATTTGATCGGATTGGCTGATAAAGACAGTAATGAGTTTCAGAGTTTGTGCCTTTTAACTTTTTTTAAACATTTCCAAAGCTCTGCCGATACGTAAAGTTTAATCAAGAGCAGTGTGTGGGTTTCTTATTTTTTCTCAACTTTTTCAAATGTTACCAATGACCTGCATCAAAGATGGCTCAGATGTGCGAGTGCCTTTTGAATTTTTGAGACATTTCCAAAGTGAAATGAAATTTGGTGCTGCTATCTTCTAGTAGTGCCTTGCCTAACTGACTGCGTCACCACTTTACCCGCTCCATCTTACATGCAGCTTTGACCTTTACTGACTTCTAATGGCATCTTATGGGGAACATCAATGAAGTGACCAGAAAGTCAACAGATGCTTCACATACTGGTTTAAGGATATTAAAACCTACTTTTTTCCCAACTTCTAATACTGTTATATATGGTTGTACAAATCTAAGTTCTAGATACAAATTGAGAAAATAATTGTATTAGCGATAAGGTAATAGCTTCTCACTATAACTACATCTGGGGCTTTTGTGTTAGACTTGGAATGGTGAGAATGTACTGTGCCTTCAGAAAGTATTCACACCCCTTGACTTTTTAAACATTTTGTTGTTACAGCCTGCATTTCAAATTGATGATTTAGATTATGTGTCACTGATCTACACACAATACCCCATAATGTTAAAGTGGAATTATGTTTTTAGACATTTTTACAAATTAATAAAAAATGAAAAGCTGAAATGTCTTGAGTCAAGTATTCAACGCATCTGAAATAACTTCAGGAGTACAAACAAGTCAGATAAGTTGCATGGACTAACTCTTGTGTGCAATAATACTGTTTAACATGATTCTTAAATGACTACCCCATATCTGTACCCCACACATACAATTAACTATAAGGTCCCTCAGTCAAGCAGTGAATTTCAAGCAGATTCAACCACAAAGACAAGGGAGGTTTTCCAATGCCTTGGAAAGAAGGGCACCTATTGGTTTAAAAAAAAAAGCAGACATTGAATATCCCATTGAGCATGGTGAAGTTATTCATTACACTTTCGATGGTGTATCAATAAACCCAGTCACTACAAAGACACAGACGTCCTTCCTAACTCAGTTGATGGAGAGGAAGGAAACCGCTCAGGGATTTCACCAGGAGGCCAAAGGTGATTTTAAACCAGTTACAGAAAACTAAGGATGGATCAACAACATTTGAGTTACTCCACAACACATTTTCAAGTCTTGCCATACATTTTCAAGCCGATTTACGTCAAAACTGTAACTAGGCCACTCAGGAACATTCAATGTCATCTTGGTAAGTATCTCCAGTGTATATTTAGCCTTGCTTTTAAGGTTATTTTCCTGCTGAAAGGTGGATTTGTCTCCCAGGATCTGTTGGAAAGCAGACTGAACCAGGAAAACCGTACGAATATTATACGATCCAGGTTTCAAAGCTCTTAGAGATTTACCCAGAAAAAGACTCACAGCTGTAATCTCTGGCAAAGGTGATTCTAACATGTATTGACTCAGGGGGTTGAATACTTACCTAATCAAAATATTTTAGTGTTTTCTTTTCCATTAATAAAAAACATTTTTTTTTTTATGTTCTTCCACTTTGACAGAGTATGTTGCATAGATTGTTGACAAAAAAAAAAGACAATTAAATCCCTTTTAATCCCACTTTGTAACACAACAAAATGTGGAAGAAGTCAAGGGGTGTGACTACTTTCTGAAGACACTGTATGCAATCCCCAATAACTGTGACAAAAATGTTGATGAATTGCCCAATGTCAATGTTGTTCTTTCAATATCAGCCCAATGTTCAACCATTTTAATGGAAATCAAAGATCCCAACATTTTACTATATTCTTGCTGTAATGGGAATGTACTAATAAAGTAATAATACAAAAAATGGTATACTGAAATGTTTTTTTGTGGATACATTTTGCTTTATATTGTGAAATGTGCAAATATCTAAGGCAGAGATTTTTCTTTCAACCTTATTTATTACTAAATATCATAATTGGTACAAAAAGACGAACAAACTGAAGGCAGTCCATCAGTCAGACGACTCTCTACATGTTCTTTAGTTTGGAAATGACTCCGTCTGGGTAGCACTTCTTGAAGCGAGCCACGACGTCAGGGTCCAAGAGGTGAATACCCTCCAATTGATTAGCAAGAGTTACCCTGAGAGAGAGAGAGAGAGAGAGAGAAATGAAGGCATAGAAAAATAGCCACATACAGACAGATACATAATCAAATAAATACACGTACCAGTTGGGTTGGACATTGTGAGGTCTGCCAAAGAGCTCAATCTTCCTGGTACCAGGTAAAAGTCTCTCAATCATCCCATTGATCTCATCTGGCTTGTGGCTGGTGGAACGCACCTAAGATAGGAGAAAGAGAGAGGTAGAGACAAAAGATGAGAGAGAGAGCAAGAGAGGGGTAGAGAGAGAGGTAGAGAGAGGGAGAGAGAGAGGTAGAGAGAGAGGTGGGGGAGAGGAGGTGAAGAAGAGAGAGAGAGGTAGAGAGAGGGTAGAGAGAGAGAGAGGAGAGGATAGAGAAGAGGAGAGAGAGGGGGAGAAGGAAGAGAGTGAGAGGAGGGAGAAGAGGGGTAAGAGGAGGAAGAGTAGAGGGAGAGAGAGAGGTAGAGAGAGAGGTAGAGAGAGGGGAGAGAGGAGAGAGAGAGGTTAGCAGAGGGAGAGAGCGGAGAGGGGTGAGAGAGAGAGAGAGAGTTGAGAGTCGAGGTATAGAGAGGGCGGAGGAGAGGAGGAGGGAGATGGGGAGAGAGAGGGTTAGAGAAGTAGGCGCGATCGGAGGATGATGCGAGCCGCCAGGAGTACGGTAGACCCGAGCGTGGAGCCCCGGCGGAGGGGTAGAGCCGGGGCGGGCGCGCGGTCGCGCGGGAGGGGGCGGGGAGAGGGGTGAGTAGGAGAGAAGATGGGGATGAGAGAGGTAGAGAGAGGTAGAGAGAGGTAGAGAGTGGGAGAGAGAGAGGTAGAGAGAGGGAGAGAGAGGGAGATATAGGAGAGGGTTGAGTTAAAACATTCAGGGCTCTCTTAGGATTGGAATGTAACATCAAATGGATTCATTGTGTTTGACCCCTGACTTCGGCCACGATGACATCACAGTCCAGCCCTTTGTTGAATCCTTGGGGGCTTTCCTTCACACCCACCTGAGGAGAAACACACACACACACACACCTATACTACAATAACAGTAAATACACACAACTGACTGCACCACACTGCCCAGAGCAGAGCGCAGACTCGGATAAGATAAGAGGTATGATGCTGCACAACATATCACAACACATCACAAAATAACAACATCTCTGTAACTGGTTGGTCTTCACCCAAATGATCTCAGCACGCTCATAGCTACAGTCAGATTGGACCAGTAAGTAAAGTCAACTCTGTCATAAAGGTTGATTAATAAAGACACTTACCACCAAAGACAGACCTTCTACACCCAACTCCATAGCCCTAAAGGAACAAGATAAGGAGAGACATGGAGATTAAAACAGTCTATTGTATATTTTAAGTGAAACATGTCACTCAAAGCACCAATCAACATCAATCAATATCAGGAGAGTACGGCTTGTTATCATATAATTAAACCGCTCTCTGTCAGACCCTTTCTGCTGTAGTGCGTGTTCATTAGCATGCACTGCTCTCCTGACAGCTGATTGGTTGATCAGTGACACACTATTCCACTCATATCTGATTAGTGGAGGTACCTGCCAGTCACCCAGAGGAAAAGGAAGCCGTCGTCCTGGAGGAAGGGGATGTGGAGCTTCCTCATCTCATTGTCCGTCAGAGTTCCGTCGGGCAGCCCCATGTGGATGTCCCAGGGAGGGTCGGCCATCACCACAGATAACTTTTCCAGGACGCGGCTGTCACAACAGATCCACTGTGATGGGGGACAAAACCGGATCAGGCTGGATCGAACCGCAGCATCAGACTGCCTAAGAACCACATCTGATGTATGGAGGTAGCTGACATAACTAATGTAGACAGACATCTTCCTAATGTCTCCCTTTGGGGATTCAGAAAGTATATTCATTTAGAAAATCCACACCTGTAGAGACATGTACCAAAATAAAAGCCTGAGTCGTTGATGATGGGTGATCCTCCCCACCCCCCACACTTCCCTCCAGTCTCTCCCTCCTCCCTTTTCATAAGCCTCCCCCTTCCCTTCCATCTCCCTGCTTCCCTCTATTACTCCTCCTCTCTCACCTGAGAGGGGAACAGTTTCCCCACGTTGCTGTCTTCCTCCCTCTGGTGTAGTCCCACCTCCATGTCCCAAGCTTGGGATCCGATAATAATATAATAACAATGCAACTTACAGTCATGGGTGCATACATTTTTTGTGTATGGGTGGTCCCGGGGAATCGAACCCACTACCTTGGCGTTACAAGCGCCGTGCTCTACCAGCTGAGCTACAGAGGACCACCGATCAGAACCCCCTCTGCCTCTGGAGGAGCGTCGATCTCATAGTGCACGTATATACATTTACATTTACATTTTAGTCATTTAGCAGACGCTCTTATCCAGAGCGACTTACAGGAGCAATACAGGTGTCCATGTGGAAACAGGTGTTGAGGAAAGAGCAGTCTCCAAGACTTGTCTGTATGCTTGTTGATGATGCGTCAGAGAGGGGAGAGAAGACTGGGCTTAGTCAATAGGGTAGGAAAAAAAAAGATTGATCAGCCAATCATAAGAGACGTAAGTGATTGAATGGAGAGCTCCAATGAGAAGGGAGAGTCCACTTAGAGATTCGATCAGCACAACAATAATTTTGGGGAGGGGATGATTAAATTAAGTATTGAATCAAAGAGGAAGTCAGAAAATCAGGATTTCTTGATTAATCAAGAAAAATACATATTTGGGAGAGTATTTCTAAGACTGTGTGTAGCAGCACTGACCGGAAATGCTGCTTGGTGCAGGGCTGGTGTGTGAATCCGGACCGCATGCACTCCTTTTTGGTCCCGTGATCACAGAACTCCTGGACCTGAGTGCGACCGCATGAACGGAACTTCTCAACGATGGACTGTTCTTTAGCTGTGCTGGTGTTCAGCAGCTCCAGGATCACTCTGCTCATCTATAAACACACACATAATTGGGTTTTGATTTCGCAATTGACTGCGTGTGTGCCATTGACTGAATATTGGGCAGTATAATACGGTTTGTACTGTTATGGTTCAAACTACACCCAGGCTATCCCGATCTATTTCCCTTCCCTCTTCTGGGTTGTACTGTACCTTCTTGCTCTGCTGCTTCTTGGTGGATTGCTGGTTCAGCAGGCTCTCAATCTCCATGTCCAGGTGAGGTGTCTGCCCTTTACTGGTCCTGCCCTGTTTATCTGCCCCACCCATTCCTCCGCCAACCTTCCAATCAGAGGGCCTGGCCAGCTGGAAGCCGGTGCCAGGGTGATGGAGGAAGTGGGCGGAGGGGAGGGCGGGCTCTGAAAAGCAAGGGAGGTGCCTTATGGACGTTTATGGTGGGCTTGGTCCTCTGCTTTCTGCTTGGCCCCCATTCTCTGAGCTAAGGCCCCACCCCCAATCAAGGGCCAGAGTTGTGTGTGGTCCACGGAGATGACTAGCGTGGAGGAAGAGGAAGAGGAGGTGGCCATGGACGGCTGACTTACTTGGAAGAGCTCCTGGGCAGAGAACTTGAGCAGCAGACTCTGGATGCAGCCATGGGTGATGGGCGCTTAAGACTGTGGAGGAGAAATATAAAAGACAGGGATAAGAGAGAGGAAGGCAAGGAAAGGGAAAGGACAGGAAATGGAATGTCAATGTGATGCAGTCAAATCAAATCAAACTTTATTTGTCACATGCGCCGAATACAACACCGTGAAATGCTTACTTACAAGCCCTTAACCAACAAAGCAGTTCAAGAAAGAGTTAAGAAAAGATTTACTAAATAAACTAAAGTAAAACAACATTTAAAAAAACTAAAAGTAACTCAATAAAATAACAATAGCGAGGCTATATACAGGGGGTACCGGTACTGAGTCAATGTGCGGGGGTACAGGTTAGTACATGTAGGTAGGGGTAAAGTGACTATGCATCACTTTGTTAGTGATGGCAAAGTGGCTTATGAATGTCTTAGCAATTACTCTTATCCAGTCTTCATTCAAATTAGCAATAGCAGTTAACAACACACACATATACACTGAGTGTACATAACATTAGGAACACCTGCTCTTGCCATGACATAGACTGACCAGGTGAAAGCTATGATCCCTTATTGATGTCACTTGTTAAATCCACTTCAAATCAGTGTAGATGAAGGGGAGGAGACAGGTTAAAGATGGATTGTTAAGCCTTGAGACATGAGCTGCTGGTTTGTTCACACTCAACAGTTTCCTGTGTGTATCAAGAATGGTCCTCCCCCCAAAGGACATCCAGCCAACTTGGGGGAAGCATTGACACAACTGTGGGAAGCATTGGAGTCAACATGGGCCAGCATCCCTGTGGAACGCTTTCGACACCTTGTAGAGTCCATGCCCTGACAAATTGAGGCCGTTCTGAGTGCAAAAGGTGGGGTGCAACTCAATATTAGGAAACTCAATGTTTTGTGTACTTTCTATTATTGCTGTTCTGTACTTTTCTATGCAAATATAGTAGACCTTGGTCACAGGGATACGCACTCACAGTGTTGAGCTCATCAGTGATGGTCAGATGAATCAGTGGGCAGGGAGCGGCTCAGGTCAGACAGATATCCCAGGAGTCTCTTCTCTAGTTCGGGGTCCGGGGGCGTTCAGCCTCCTCCTGCGGGGCGTTGGTCCTGGACGTTCACTCCATGCAGCAGCCCCTTCAGCACTGCTGCCTCCCACCTCTGAGAATAGATAACCCCCAAGTTGTAAGGGGGGGGTAGAAGGATTACTTTATCCTATCCCAGGTATTCCTTAAAGAGGTGGGGTTTCAAATGTCTCCGGAAGGTGGTGAGTGACTCCGCTGTTCTGGCGTCGTGAGGGAGTTTGTTCCACCATTGGGGTGCCAGAGCAGCGAACAGTTTTGACTGGGCTGAGCGGGAACTATGCTTCCGCAGAGGTAGGGGAGCCAGCAGGCCAGAGGTGGACATCTTGCAAGGTAAGCTTCGATTTGGTCTGTGTTTGAGCTATGGCTACATGGGGGGTATCAAATTAATCATTCGGTTGGTAGGAACAAATCTAACCTATTGCCAATATCTGATGATGTATGACTTAATGGAAACATTGAATGTCCACTGAGTGACTATAGCTTTGCCCTTCAAAAATATAATGTTGACTGCTTATGCGCTGTAGGCATCCATTACACAGGGGATTGGCTACTATGGCACCTTGACAGTCTTGTAGCCAATGAGATAAGCTTTCCAGGGATATGCGGTTGACCTGAGTGGGACCGGAGTGCCAAGTCTAGGTCCAAAAGACTTCTCAACAGCTTCTACCCCCAAGCCATAAGACTCCTGAACAGCTAATCATGGCTACCCGGACTATTTGCACTGCCCCCCCACCCCATCCTTTTTACGCTGCTGCTACTCTGTTAAGTATTTATGCATAGTCACTTTAACTCTACCCACATGTACATATTACCTCAACTACCTCAACTAGCCGGTGCCCCCGCACATTGACTCTGCAACGGTACCCCCCTGTATATATAGCCTCCCTACTGTTATTTTATTTTACTGTATATATAGCCTCCCTACTGTCACTTTATTTGACTTCTGCTCTTTTTTTCTCAACACTTTTTTTGTTGTTGTTTTATTCTTACTTTTTTTGTTTAAAATAAATGCACTGTTGGTTAAGGGCTGTAAGTAAGCATTTCACTGTAATGTCTGCACCTGTTGTATTCGGCGCATGTGACCAATAAAATTTGATTTGATTTGATTTGATTTGACAAAGCAAGAGGCACATCCAGTGTGCAAAAACAGTGCAATTACCACATTCGGACACTTTGGAGCGGTTGAAAGGACACTTGAATGTACCCTGGATACCCATAACACCACCACAATGTTTGAGTGAAATTGATATGGTAGAAATTGTGTTTTTATATTAAACAAATAGCATTTAGGGATTGCAAATATGTAATAGCACTGGAATTATCTAATTTACAGCATATGCCACTTTGGAGAGGTTTAGGGATACTTGGAAACATCCCGTGACCACACCTGACACCACTTAATAAAACATCTGCCCATTTCTAGTTGTTAGGTCTATCAATCCCTTTTTTTTTCTGATATTATTCACATGTTGTGGAAGCCATCTAATGTGTTTCCAGCTCTAGTCATCAATAATTCACTTATAGCTTGTCAATGAAAGATGACTTTCAAAATAAAATAAAATGTTGAAACTGTTATTTTGTGTGTGCTTGATCTTGTGTATTCTGAACTATGTAACTCCTATTTATCTTCTGATCATTTCCTCATAATCTCCCAGATGTCTTCTTTCCAAATATACAACGTTTTTGCATGTAATTACACATGAATAGCAGTTACTTTTGGGTATGTCTATTTAGGCGGAAATCTACATTTTGCCATTACATTTAAGAGGTTTTAAAACACCGTGGAGCCGGCGTGAGATATGGCTTGGAAAACATACCTCAATCCAGGGATGAGAAATGTGTTTTACTCCAAATTGTCCCATTAGTAGAGAATGGCGCTGCAATGGATAGCAGCCGTTTTATGGGCTCCTAACAAATTCTGCTATTTTGTGTGTTTTCCAAAATTGCTGCTGTGGCTTCTGCTACCTAGCATGAGGACGAAAAGGACCGTTTTCTGGAAAAACAAGCAGTCATTCAATCTTCTCAGTGTAACAGTTGGGATAATGGGACAATTCGGAGAACAAGACATTTCTCCTCCCTGGATGGAGATACATTTTCTGAGCCATATCTCGCAAGGCTCCGCAGGGTTTCCACCAGTCAAAATTGGCTATATCATAAAAATTCATGGAATTATTTTTTTGCTTTTTGGTCTTAATTTAAGGTTAGGGTTAGTTAGGCCAACAGTTAGCAGTGTGGTTATGGTTAGGTTTAAAATCTTATTTTAAGAAGAGAAATTGTAGAAGGCAGAGTTTATAACTTTGTGGCTGTGGTAACTAGTAACTAGTATTTGCATAAAGTTTAGCTTCCCCGCCCTGTTTACATCCCTCGCCCATGCTCGCATCGCCCAATGGTCCCCCGCATGAGCGGCTTCAGTCGTTTCATCGTCCCTTGCCTAAACATCAATCTGTTACCATAGTTACTCAATGGATATCAGTCAAAGAAATTTACATTTTAGTCATTTAGCAGACGCTCTTATCCAGAGCGACTTACAGTGTATTGAGTGCATACACTATTCTATATATATATATATATATATATATTTATTTTTTTCATACTGGCCCCCCATGGGAATCGAACACGCCATGCTCTACCAACTGAGCTACCTCCCTGCTGGCCATTCCCTCCCCTAACCTGGACGACGCTGGGCCAATTGTGCGCCGCCCCATGGGTCTCCCGGTCACGGCCAGCTACGACAGAGCCTGGATTCGAACCAGGATCTCTAGTGGCACAGCTAACACTGCGATGCAGTGCCTTAGACCACTGCGCCACTCGGGAGACCCATTGTTGTAAAAAAGACGCAATAGCCTCTACAAGGCACAATGTTGAACAAAATTATATTTACACTTACTTTACCGGTTGTACATGCTTTGGTTCTTTTGGCGGTAAGAAATGGAGATAGGGTATCCATGGGAAAGTGTTGTTTACTTGACTTGCGGCGCAGGTAGGTTATCTTGCTTGTATTTTAAATATGTTGACGCATTGCATAATATGTAAACAATTGCCGAATGTAACAATGTAGTCCACCTAAGCACTTTCCTTGCAATAAGATGGAAGCGTTTGTTGTTCGGTTAAACTCGGCCATTATTGTGCAAGTGTTTGTCACTTATATTGAAAATACAAACTGGAAATACAAACGATATAGACCAGCATCCTGAAGGTCGGGTTGATAACACGACTCTGTGGATATTTTGTCTGACATTCATTTACATTTACATTTTAGTCATTTAGCAGACGCTCTTATCCAGAGCGACTTACAAATTGGTGCATTCAATTTATGATAGCTAGTGAATAGTTGTATTGTTGTCTCAGGCAACCACATCGAAGGGTTGTGTGACAAACAGTAGCCGTTTTGTATTACACTCCCACCTAGTGTCAAACCCATGTATGCATGAGGAAATGCATAAGTAATCAACACTGAGTGACTGAAATCAAGATATTGGTCTGATAGCATTAGCATTTTTGGGACAATATATAGATGTTTTAACTACTGAGCACCAGATTTCCGTCCAGATATGTTTATGATAAGCTTTATATATATAATAGAAGTGTTATTAAACCAATACATAATCATTTAATTGAATATTGAGCGGTAACACCCGAAACACCTTTATTTTCACTTCGGTTAAGGTTAATCATCTGCAAATCAATATTCCACTTAAATTGTCTATTGTGAATTTTACAAAAACATTTAATTAACTTGCAATAAGTTGCACTGAAACTTGCTGATTATGTATGATCGAATAAGAAAACGCTGAGTTAGAATGTGTCTAGCAGGTTAACTACAATGGATCTTTCCCACTGTAGTTAGAGGAATTCTGTAACATTTGACTTAATCCAGCACCCAAATAAATTATTTAAAAAAACACCAAGCCAAATGTAGTTTGTTTCTTAATTGAAAGAGCAAAACAATGGCACCAGGGCAATTTAAGTCAGTAAGAAACTGAGATACCAAATGAGGTGGACCATACTTTTCTCGTCAAATGATTTTGAAAAAACTTATACTCAAAAACTGGAAATCAAATGATCCTACATCACTATGACAGTGGATTAATCAAATGTATTATTTAAATATTGAAAAGGTGTGGGCTAGAGAAAAATAGAACAGTGCAATTTGAGGCCAGATGGCATAGAGTTCTACAAGCACTGGAAAATTCCAGCGGATTAAGGATGAGCGGGAGTGTGGTTGAGACATACGTGATGTATATGGTTGTGGTGGGAACATGTGGGTCTGAGCAGGTGTAATGTCATTGATGTTTGTTGAAATTTGTGTGCGTCGGTTTATTGGTCTTTTGTTTATGTATGCTTGTTATTGTTTGAGAAAATTGTAAAATCGTACAAAAAAAGAAATGTAAGAGTATGTATGAATGGTAAATTAATATGTACTTTTTTCTTTGAAAAAAAAACAAAATTTGATAAGATGTTTCCAATCCATGGAAACACGCTGCAGAATCCAAACCAAGTACACATCGTATACTCAGCCTCCTTCCTTCACTCCTGAACATTCCTACCTGCAAAAGGACCAACATTTACATTACATTTTAGACCAACTACACGGACAACTGGTAAAGTATCATTTTATTCAGCATTCTGGCTTGGTGAGGTCGTGAGAGGAAACTTTCCTGATCTAATTTCTGCCCGACGTAGAATTCGATGCAATTCAACGTCAGGTCTTCAGGCTGCATCGCCCCTAGCCTAACGTGCTCTGTAGAGTGCTTGTGTCATTGCGTTAAATTGGTAGGCAGCATCATCTGGACATGTGTGCAACAAAAGTTCTACATTCACCTTCTGTTACCATTTCTGTCAAGCCGTCTACGCAAGGCAAACGCAGCATTCCATTGGAAATGAATGTACTTCTGGTGTACCAAAACGCAATAACACTGTCGGTATGATCGTGGCGACCTGCAGCGTGATGCGTGGGGTCTTTCCGTCGCCTCTGCAGTCTCTCTCGCAGCGAGTCCAGCTGCTTGTGTGCCTGGATGTTGCTCCACGTATTCGACATTTCGAGTCGGCGCTTTCGCGAAAATAAATTGAAAACTGAGCATGCAAGATGAGTTAGTTTAGCGGCATGTGGACCAAATTACTGTACGTGTGGACACGGCTCGCACTGTCGGACTAGCAACAACAATACATGAATGGTTCCCCCTTATTGGAGGAAAATCTAACAGGTAACCTTTCTTAAAATGATACGATTTCATTGCAAGTCGGATTTGTCACCTCTCAGAACAAGTTGAAATAATATGTTTAGGCATGTTAGGTCGTGACTATTTTAAATACATCGATTTGTTCAAATGAGCACAAGACGGATGTGTTTTGGAAACGGACACATTTCCGGTTAGAAAAGGGTCACTTCCGGTAAAACGCGTGTTTTAATGTCTATGGGTCAACAACTATCCAAACTTAGATAGTTCATTAGTTAGCAATCTGCGGTAAAAAAAAAAAAAAAAAAAAAAAGTCGCTTTAGTACATTCAGTACATAAGAGTTGTTTAGCAACCAATATGTTAATATTCTCCAGCTACTGCACACCCCTCTAGGCCAGCAGGAGCCGTGTTTTCAATGTAGTATTCTTCTTCCAACAACCACTGGAAAAGATGGCGGAAGTGGAGAAGGATGGTGATTCTGCGGCTGACAAAGATGACTTACAGATCTTAAAGGTATTGTCAAATATAACGCTATAATCCCTGCATGTAATATATAGTCATGAGTTTTCTTAACCTGACTATTTTAATGAACGTCTTATCTAACGTTAGACATAGCCCTTCTTTCCTTTGATGGTACGTTAGCTAGTTAGCTCTCCTCCACTGGTTACTATAACAACTGACACCAACTGTCATATTAATCGACCAAAATCTGTTTGTGGTTGATTTTAGAAATCTTCAACCCGAGTTGGTTGTCTATAAATCTGCCGAGCCATCCGTTTTCTCTATATGTTTATACATCAAGGTCCTCAGTTAGCTATCTAGCTTTGTATGGTGTGCAACGTTCTTACAATCTGTCTCCATCTTGGCTACTAATAGCCAGCTAACGTTAGCGCCTGAGACGTCTAGATGCAGCCGTCTAAGTTAGTTAGCCAAACTTGCTGTGTCATCATCCTTCATAGCCCAAAATGTATTCTTAAGGAGCCTACCTTTACTCCTTAAGGTCCATGGTCAGGACCTTATATGATACTGTATCTTCAGAGGTAGACTCTCTGGCAGCGAAATACTCCATCTAAACGTGAATCGATTCTAAATTGCGATACATTTCTAGAAAAGCCCTTTACTTTCATATCACATAAAAATAATTTCACAAATGCAAAAGATACACTTACTGTACACCGTTTTAACCGGCTTTATCACAGTTGTAGCCGAAAGTATTGTTGAGTGACTACACATTTCTGGCAGCCTTCTTCCATTACACACAGGTGTTCGGATGCCAGATAGCTAATTAGCACAGGTGGTCCCTCTGTCTTCCGTCTGTCTACTGTAAACACTCGCTGTAACATGGAGATATGGCCGTGTGGGAACACAACTAATCCTAACCCTATAAAGGTGTGTATCAATCTAACCTTTTATTTTTGAAAGTTATATCTCACTGCTATGGAAGATACGGTTCTTATGCTTTCAAAACCCTACCGCGAGCGATGCATGTTAATGTTAAGACTGACAGAAGACGCCTTCTTGAAATGCAATGTAATGGAATTTAGAGTCATGATCAAGGGCTACATCCCTCATTGCCAATGAGCATGCATCCAATCATGCAAGGGTCCTAGCCTCATCAAGTAAATTTGCAGTCCAGTCCTATTCAGCAACACATTGCAAAATTATATTCTTGTATCATCTGCCTCTCATCATGCATCTAGTTTCTCTCTCTGGTATCAATACCATGGTATCAATACCAGTTTCCCTCTCTCTTTCTGGGTCAGGAACTAGTGGATGAGTTGTATCATTTTCGGGATCATTACTTTGAGACTCATAGTGTGGAGGATGCAGGGAGGAAACAGAGTGATGTGGCACAGGAGATGGAAAAGACTCTAATGAAGCTTGGGGAGAAAGGAGGTGAGATAACAGAACCGAAAAGGAAGGCTTGTTGTGGTTTAGTAACTACACATGTAAAAATAATATACTGACATTTTGCATGCTAGCTTTGTATCCATTTGGCATTTTAATGTTAAGTTACACATATTTTACCGCACTATTCAGTACTCACACTTGCCTGACTAGAGAGGGATCTCTTTATGCATTATTTATTAATCAATGACTTACATAACTAAGATTCTATTTGTGGCCACCCATCTCATCCAGTCTTATAAGCACTATTGACGTCCACCAGCCAGCTCTCTCATGCAGTAGCAATTGAGGCTGGGGAAGAGGTTATATAAGCACAGTGCTGACTGAGTTTAGCTTTGCCTCCATTTGACATCTAATATGTGGGGTTACATCTTTAAACACACAAAATAATTCAATTGACTAGAGAATCATCTCTGTCATCCCTTTGTCTTCTCCAGAGTCGTATAAGCACAGCGCTGAGTTCCTGCTTCTGCGGGGCCGCTGCCTCGGGGTGGCTCCAGAGTTTAGCACCACCGCCGAGGAGTGCCTGTCCCGGGCCGTGAAGCTGGAGCCTGGGCTGGTGGAGGGCTGGAACACCCTGGGGGAGCAGTACTGGAAGAAAAGAGACCTGACCACCGCCAAGACCTGCTTCACTGGAGCCCTGCAGCAGGTTAGCAATACATTTTATTTGCATAGCTGTGCGTTATTTAATTTATAGACAGCAGGAATTACAAAGCTTTTGAGGTTAACTGGAGAGAGAGATGTCAGCTGTTTCTCTCAGCCTTCCAAGCCATAACTCTTGCTCTCCCATTGTTTCCACCTTTCTTTGTCTCTCTCTTTCTTTGTTTCTTTTGTTCACAAAGGTCTCTTTTATCCTCTATTCTTATATCATTTAAATTGACCTACACCCAAACCAATATCCATTGATAATTATTTTTTAAGGAGTGGGGCAGATACTTTTTTTGTTTGTTGCTTTATTGAAAAGCGAGTGCAGTGATGGAAAGATGGGGACTATAAATGAAGGGTGAGTCAAAGGGCAGTGGGCCGGATTCGAACCCATGCCGAATCTGGCATACGTTTGCTGGACCACACAGGCCACAATATCCCATTTTTAAAAAAAGTTGACTTTTCATGGTTTTCTGTATTATCCTTATTACATTTATTTTCTCCCTTCCTCCCAGAGTAAGAACAAGGTGTCTCTACGCAGTCTGTCCATGGTGCTGAGGCAGCTACCAGGAGGGGGCGGTGATGAGCAGGGGAAGAGGGTGCTGGAGAGTGTGGACATGGCCAGGCAGGCTGTCCAGCTGGACGTCACTGACGGAACCTCCTGGTGTGAGTATGATGGGTAGTCTCATAACAGATATTCATATTTTACAATGGTGATGGGTTTTGAGAATAGAGTGTGGGGGACATGGGGTTACTGGGGTGGAGTATGGGTACAGTTACATACGATGGAGGTGTGGATGGGTCTAAGCATGGAGGGAAATTATTTTGGCTGTAATTCATGTTCTCGAAAGAGAGGATAAAAGAACAGCGGTTTATGTAAATGTTGGTATGAGAAGAATGTCTTATAGTGCTGAATATGAGTGGAACGTTGATGATTTATTGGTATATTTTGACAGACATCCTGGGAAACGCCTACATCTCCCTGTTCTTCACCTGCGGACAGAATCCACAGATGTCTCAACAGGCTCTGAGTGCCTATGCACAGGCTGTGAGTGTATATATCTACACACACACCAAACTGGGTTGTTTTTACAAAGCCTGACAGGACCGTATGGGCGGGTGAATTTGATTCTCAGGCAATAACCATTGTTCAGCAACCCTATATAATTCCTTCCCTTTCTGTTCTCTCTCTCTCAGGAGAAAGTGGACCGAACAGCAACCTCCAACCCCGATCTACACTTCAACAGAGCCACGGTAACACATTGTTTACATATTCTGTTATGATTGTTACAATAGGCATGTGATAAATGAATTCCATTAGAAAAATGCATGTGAAAGAAAACTGAAACTAATGATTGTACCATGCATGTGTCCCCTCCTTCAGTTGTTCCAGTATGAGGAGATGTTTGGGTCTGCGCTGGGGGGGTACAGTCGGGCTGCGGCCCTGGACCCCGCGTGGGAGGAGCCTCCAGAGAGGGAGAGACAGCTGCTGGAATACCTGGAGAAACTCACAGCACTCACAGAGAACAAGGTAGGACAGGAGAACCGGCACACATTCTCATAGATAAACTGGACAGGGCACATCAGTCTCCAACCTACATCTATCAGCAGTTCATGGGATCTGTGTAGGATGTAAATAAAGAAATACGAACGCATTTCTTGGCAACTCTTTATTACCATTCACTAATGCAAAGGAAAGTGTGCACCAGTGACTCGGTTAATAAGGAAGTGGTCAGATGACGCAGATGCTAAGCTACAGGACTGTTTTGCTAGCACAAACTGGAACATGTTCCGGGATTCATCCGATGGCATTGAGGAGTACACCACATCAGTCACTGGCTTCATCAATAAGTGCATCGATGACGTCGTCCCCGCAGTGACCGTACGTACATACCCCAACTTACATACCCCAACTTATATACCCCAACCAGAAGCCATGGATTACAGGCAACATCCGCACTGAGCTAAAGGGTAGAGCTGCCGCTTTCAAGGAGCGGGACTCTAACCCGGACGCTTATAAGAAATCCCGCTATGCCCTCTGACGAACCATCAAACAGGCAAAGAGTCAATACAGGACTAAGATTGAATCGTACTACACCGGCTCTGACGCTCGTCGGATGTGGTAGGGCTTGCAAACTATTACAGACTACAAAGGGAACCACAGCCGCGAGCTGCCCAGTGACACGAGCCTACCAGACGAGCTAAATCACTTTTTTTCTTTTTTTTTATACATTCATTCACTACTATGCTCGCTTCGAGGCAAGCAACACTGAAGCATGCATGAGAGCATCAGCTGTTCCGGATGACTATGTGATCACGCTCTCCGACCAACTGGCAAGTGTCATCACTGACATTTTCAACATGTCCCTGACGGAGTCTGTAATGTCAACATGTTTCAAGCAGACCACCATAGTCCCTGTGCCCAAGAACACTAAGATAACCTGCCTAAATGACTACCGACCTGTAGCACTCACGTCTGTAGCCATGAAGTGCTTTGAAAGGCTGGTCATGGCTCACATCAACACCATTATCCCAGAAACACTAGACCCACTCCAATTTGCATACCGCCCCAACAGATCCACAGATGATGCAATCTCTATTGCACTCCACACTGCCTTTTCCCACCTGGACAAGAGGAACACCTACGTGAGAATGCTATTCATTGACTATAGCTCAGCGTTCAACACCATAGTGCCCTCAATTTATTTTATATTTTATTTTACCTTTTATTTAACTAGGCAAGTCAGTTAAGAACAAATTCTTATTTACAATGACGGCCAAACCCGGACGATGCTGGGCCAATTGTGCGCCGTCCTATGGGACTCCCAATCACGGCCGGTTGTGATACAGCCTGGAATCGAGCCAGGGGGTCTGTAGTGACGCCTCAAGCACTGAGATGTAGTGCCTTAGATAGCTGCGCCACTCGGGAGCCCTCAAAGCTCATCACTAAGCTATGGACCCTGGGACTAAACACCTCCCTCTGCAACTGGATCCTGGACTTCCTGACGGGCCGCCCCCAGGTGGTAAGGGTAGGTCCCGTGTAGCTCAGTTGGTAGAGCATGGCGCTTGCAACGCCAGGGTTGTGGGTTCGTTTCCCACGGGGGGGGGCAATATGAAAATGTATGCACTCACTAACTGTAAGTCGCTCTGGATAAGAGTGTCTGCTAAATGACTAAAATGTAAATGAATGTCAGACAAAATATATAATAAAATGTAACAACACATCTGCCACACTGATCCTCAACACGGGGTGCGTGCTCAGTCCCCTCCTGTACTCCCTGTTCACCCATGACTGCAAGGCCAGGCACGACTCCAACACCATCATTAAGTTTGCCGACGACACAACAGTGGTAGGCCTGATCACCAACAACGATGAGACAGCCTATAGGGAGGAGGCCAGGAAAACAACCTCTCCCTCAACTTGATCAAGACAAAGGAGATGATTGTGGACTACAGGGGGGGAAAAAAAATAGGACTGAGCACGCCCCCATTCTCATCGACGGGGCTGTAGTGGAACAGGTTGAGAGCTTCAAGTTCCTTGGTGTCCACATCACCAACAAACTTTCATGGTCCAAACACACCAAGACAGTCGTGAATAGGGCACGACAAAGCCTATTCCCCCTCAGGAGACTGAAAAGATTTGGCATGGGTCCTCAGATCCTCAAAGTTCTACAGCTGCACCATCGAGAGCATCCTGACTGGTTGCATCACTGCCTGGTATGGCAACTGCTCGGCATCCGACCGCAAGGCACTACAGAGGGTAGTGCATACGGCCCAGTACATCGCTGGGGCCAAGCTTCCTGCCATCCAGGACCTCTATACCAGGCGGTGTCAGAGGAAGGCCCTAAAAATTGTCAAAGACTCCAGCCACCCTAGTCATAGACTGTTCTCTCTGCTACCGCATGGCAAGCGGGTACCGGCGCGCCAAGTCTAGGTCAAAAGGCTTATTAACAGCTTCTACCCCCAAGCCATAAGACTCCATGAACAGCTAATCATGAGCTACACGGACTATTTGCATCTGTTAAGCTGCGTATTGTTTATTATCTATGCATAGTAACGGTAAAATTAACACATGTACATATACCACGACGAACCGGGGCAACATGACCAACATTGACTCTGTACCGGGACCCACTGTATATATAGCATCCCTACGGTATGTTATTTTACTTAGGTTCTTTAATTATTTTGATATTTACTTATCTATTATTTCTCTAACTGCAAGGGTTGTCTAAGGTATACATTCACTGTAGGCTACTACCGTACGCTAGCAATACCCTAGTATTCCTGGTATATATTACCCTATGTATGGTCTAAGGGCATCCGTCTAAGGCACTGCATCGCCTTGTGTAAAGATCCTGGTTCGAAATGTCGCGCGACCAGAGAACTCATGGCCCGCGCACATTGGCCCAGCGTCGTCGGGTTGGAGGTGTAATTGGCGGGGATGAGTCCAGTTGTTTACGACATGCGTTTGCAACGCGGTTGCGTTGATTCCACGGGGGCCCTATAATAAAACTACTATAAAATAATAAAAAAAAATTAAAAAAAAAAAATAATTAAACTACATATTAATATTTGTTAGCTACTGATAAGTCCTTGGATAAGGTCTGCTAACCTAAAATGTGAAAATGTAAAAAAATTAGATTATGTATTTCATTCACCAGTAGGTGGCGGCAGAGTACTATGCTTTCCCACTGGTTAGTCTGCTACACTTTCACCCATACAGGGGAAGGTGAAGGCCCGGCGCCTGCGAACGATGCTCTCCAACCTCAGCACGTTGGCCCTGGGGCCGTGCTCCTCCCCTCAGTTCCGCTCCCCCGCAGGCCGCATTGGGAGCCTGGAGCCCCGCAACCTGTCTGCCCTGACACACGGCCACAACGCTGGGGTGGCTGCCCTGGGCAAGGTGGTGTTCAGCCTGGCCTCTGAGGGACGCATGGCCTTGTGAGTTTACCTTCTTCTAGTGATAGATCTGTAATGTGGGACCTGCTGTGTACTTTGTGTGTCTTTGTTTGTATACATGTTTCTTTATGCATTTAGAGAATGATAGCGTTTTGTGTCCCTTCACTTTAAAAAAAATATTGTTTTCATACTATACAGTGCATTCCATTGGTTGAACATGGAGTTTTATGATGAGTTGTCCTCTTACTGTACGTTATCTATGGTGGATAGACAGTAATGTGACTGTCTCTCTGCCTCCCAGTACGTTTGGCATGGTGGACAGTGAGGAGACCTGCTGTGTGATCATGGTCTATAACACAGCAGACAGTTGGGGTGTTCTGATTGGAGACTCAGTGGTCATCCCAGAGCCCCAGGTCAAACGCCACAGTGTAACCCACAACAACCAGGTCAGTCCCTCTCTCCAGCTTACATGGACCACTGCACACGACTTGTGATAGGAATATTCCTAACATGATGTTTGATGAGTGGCGCAGCATCTCAGTGCTTGAGGCGTCACTACAGACCCTGGTTCGATTCCAGGCTGTATCACAATCCGGACGTGATCCCATAGGGTGGCGCACAATTGGCCCAGCGTCATCCGGGTTTGGCCGGTGTAAGCTGTCATTGTAAATAAGAATTTGTTCTTAACTGACTTGCCTAATTAAATAAAGGTTCAATAAAAAAATAAAAAAGTGAAAACAGGTCAGTGTCTACAGCAAAATGCAGTACTTGTGCTATAAACATACACAAAGCATCTGACTAGAATACAAACTGTGTTTGCACGGTCCAAAGACAGAAATCCTCTCTGCATTTTGTTAATGAAACATCATACCTAACGCAAATCTTGATACTCACGACATTTCTGATTCTCTGATATTTTTTCTCTTCTCCCCTGTGCCTCCTGCAGACGTTTGACTTCCGCAGTATACGAGTGGACTCCCCCCTACTCCTCATCGTCAATGGCAAGAGACAGAACGTCCAGGCTCAGACTGCAGCCTCCGTCAGTTACAAGCCCCAGAGTGAATAAGAGGAGGGGGGTAGAGGGAGGGGGGCGGAGGGAAGAAGTATGATGAGCATTTGCCAGTTTTGTTTTTTCTGTGTGTTTTGTAAATAGTAGATCCTTGTTATGTTAAAGCCTTTAGGAATACACTGTTTGTACATATTTATAAATATTTTATTTTTTATTTTGTGGGAGGGAGGGAGGCTAGGGGATTTTGTAAATGACTGACTACAATATGATAATAATTGTGATGACAATGATGTCAGACTTATGGGTTCAAGACATTAAAACAAACATCCCCATTCCCCAAATATTGTGTCTTTCTCCAATGTGGACATGATTTCACATGCATGCTTTATCGTTAGCTTTATATAGTTGATCGTCTTTCACTGGAAGGTAGTCAAACCTTTCAGTGAAAAAAACATTTTAGTAGAATAATCATAACATACAGCATTCTTACAATGGTCATGCTGAATTTTATTGACAAAATATGTGCAAACATAAAAGTTGTATTGGAGCATTTCATCAAGATACAGTAACTTCAGGTAAGAAAAAGGCAACCACAACTACAATATGAATATCAAACCTGACAGTCTACACTAAGGATGGTTATCTAAGATAAGGCTGTCATTGATCAAGGAGCCAGGTACCTAACCAGCGTTACCTCAGTCATAGAAATATAATTATTCTATTAATTCTAATCCGGGAGTTCTAGAATTGTAATTCTAGTCTCAGTATTTCTTGAGTAAGGCCCGGCCCCTGTCTCTGGCAGGTGAGCTGAACTGGAAGAAGGTCTTGGCTCCAGCATCGGGCTCCAGGGAGGAGAAAAGGCGGCTGTCACCCTCAGGCCCCATGCACAGGAAGTGAGGACTCCCCCGGGGAGAGGGCTGCCTGACCACCCCTGGGAAACAGGTAGGAGGTTGAATCTCCAGAACTGGTATTCTCTATGCCTCTTTTATACCTTTTGTTTAAGAGGCAAGTCCTGAGTTAAGACAAGCAGGCTGAACTCAAACTTTCAGGCAAATTCCCTAATGACATACACAGACAGAACTCCAAGATGTGTCTCTAATCAGGATTCAGACCCATCTCCCCATGTTTCTCACTCTTTCTTCCTACTCCCACTCTCTAACCTGTGTTGAAGTCGGGGGGTCCTGGCTGGCGTGGTGCCTCTCTGTCCCCCACCACCATGTTGCGTAGCCTCAGCGAGTCATAGAGCCCCTGTAGCTTCTGGTACTGCCTGTTCCTCTCCATCAGACGCTCTGACACTTCACTGTACTTCCTCTTGTACTCCTCCATCACCTGAAAGAGACATGAGAGGGATACCAAGGAGATGGAGAGTGATAACGAGGTAGAGTGTATATAAGAAGGCTAAATAAAAGTGATTTGGGTTATGGTTAGAGCTGAGCATTCATTTCGGGTGGTGAAGGGCCACAGTGGGTGGCTGGGTGCAAGGCATTTGTTCCTAGTCGAGCAGCACTAATTGTGATGAGTTGAATCAGGTGTTAGTGTACAAATGGAGCAAAAGCCTGCACCCAAAGGGAGACTAAGCTTGCCCACTCCAGGGTCTGATGTGACGTAAAGGTGGTACCTTCTTCAGTGAGGAGACCTCCCCTCTCATGGCGTTGAGCTCCAGCTCTCTGCTCTGGTTCTGCTGGGTTAGCACCTTCTCCATCTGTTTCACCTGACCCTCGGCCCGGGACAGACTATACTCCTGGAACATATGCTCCTGGTGCACCTGCAACACACACACACATGCATGTCGGACACACGCACACACACTGTGAGAAGGGGATGGTATAACATAGATTTGACACTCACATTTCTTGAATTGTGTCCTTCATCCCTTGTCCTGGGGACCCACAGGGTGTGCAGGCTTGGTTTGAGCAGTAGAATCAGGTGTGTTAGTACCAGGCTGGAACAAAAGCCCGCACACCCGGAGGGTCTCCTGGACCAGGCCTGATATAAACAATGGTGTAATTCAATACTGTGAATGTCATAGGCAACACACTGACAGACCTGGTAGGTCCAGAAAGCCAGGGCACGGGCGCTTATGTCCAGCACCGTCTCTGGCCTCAGTCCCGCCAGCACCATGGCCTTGTACTCCTCAGAAGGCGACAGCTCAGTGCGCACGATGTCCAGCTTCCCCGAGAGTGCAGAGGAGCAGGCCGGGCATATTGCCGGGGAGCGGCTGAACTCTCCGGATCCATGTTGGTCACAGAAGGCGTGTGAGCAGGCTGTGACCCAGGCGAACCCACACAGCTTCACCCGACACTTCGAGTAGTTGCAGAGCAGAGTGTCGTCGCACATAGACATGGCTGTCTGGGACAACAACAACTTGGTGAAACTTCAGATACACTCACTTCACACAAAGAGGTTGATGGTGTAACGTTTCATAATGCAAGGTATGCAACAACCAACCTCCGCCATCCTTAGCATAGCATGCTAGCTAACTGTCTCGCCACACAGACTGCTACTACAAATAACTGTAACGTTAGTTCTAACATTTCTTTATGAAATTAGTAGCTAGCTACAACTCTATAAAACTTTAGCTGTGTACGACACTGAATGGGTTTAGCAAACGTACCTGTTTAATTGGGCAAAACTCGGACCTTTGAGGAATGTTTTGATGCTAAAGGTTTCCTAGCTAGCTAGAAGTCTTTGAAGCGGGCTGGAATGAAAATTCTGATTGGCTTGCTAGTAAATTCAAGGGACCAATCAAATAGGCCCTTTATTATAGACGTAATAAAATAGGTATTACCCATTAAGACTTATGTAGTAAAAACTTTATAAAAGTTATATTTTTCTTAATAATAATAAGGAAGGATAATTACAAGTTTGATGGAGTTCTGCATTGTTGTTCAAATTATGCATTGTTTGTTAAGGGCTTGTAAGTAAGCATTTTGTGGTACGGTTTACACCTGTTGTATTCGGCGCATGTGACATATACAATTTGATTTGAAAGTGCATCCATTTTTACTAGTGGATTTTTTTTGTAACTTTTTGCCTATTCATGTTTGGAATACTTGATTCATTTTCTATACAGGTGATGATACCCTTTTTGTTTACTTGGCATTGGTTTAATCCTCACACATCTTTGTACAATCATTGTATTTACCATGCAATACAAAACATTTTTTTTCATTTAACCTACCTTTTGCTTTTCTTTCCTGTCCACCATGCATTGAGTGGGACATGTATGTGAGATACCTACTTAAAAATTGTCCCTTTTCTCTCTCTCTCTTTCTCCCTCTTTGTATCCCTCCTCCACGTGGTACAGGAGTAAAGGCGGGGGGTGAAAGAGGGCATTGTGCTGGAGCAGCACTGGATCCGGGGGTTGATAGTGAGAGAGAAGAGATGCTCACTCAACTGTGTCCAGTGCGCCATTGTCGCAGATTCCCATCTATTCTCTGCCTTTTAAATAAAGCTCTGCCTGCGCACCAGGACACTGGTAGAAGGGGGGTCAGTGCGTAGAATGACACGGAATGGAACACATGCATGTTCTGATGCGGAATGGATGGAACCGCCTCAACAGTCTCACACCATCTCTTTGTTGATAATTAGCCATATGTAAATCTGTGTGCAAATGTGCCCATTCATTCTGCAACGGTTGGCCTATATGATCCCCCTTGCCCTCTCCGTGAATAATTAGCACATAATGATCACATATATTGCAATGATGAGGCTGTTATTATTTCCAGTCTCTTGACCACTTGTAGAGTAAGCTAGGATAATTTAGCTACCACAAATCGAAACAGGATTTCGTGTATTCGTTAAGGATTCTGATTTTGTTATTTATTAACTTATCTACAAAGGCTAGTACAAATATTTGCTATCACTTAATTCCCACAAATGTGCCAAAAATAATGGTCCATGAACTAGGCAAAATCTCAAAGTTCGTCAACAAATTCTAGTTGAATGGGTTCAAACAGCATGCAACAAGTAAAGTCATATACTTGATTTATTCATGTGGATTTTAACACCCTTAGGATGATATTTGATTGAGAGTTTAGTGATGGCGTGAAGGAAATACCGAGAGAAAGGGGAGAACCAGGGAGTCGGTGTTCCGCGCCATTGAAATGCAAATATCAGTGAGGAACACGAAGAGATTGTATGTGTGTGTGTGTGTGCATGTTATTATGTGTGCCTGCGTAGGCTATGTGTATGCAGGGGAGCGGGGGTGGGGGCGCCACAAATTGGGCAAGTTTGGAGAGCGAGAGAGACGATTTTAGAAAAACAGCCACACGCACTAACCGCAGCCTCATATGACACAGTGCGTTTATACGGATTTCCATTTCTACACCTCTTTGTTTTCTTACGGGCAAGGGATAAACGTTCGATAACGTTATCTAGATGCAGATTGGACATTCACATTTTCCTGAAATTTGAGTTTTAACCGATTCTGGAACCCGAAGCCTACAAGTGCTTAAAGTGGCCAGAGCTATTTAATCGGCTGATGCCCTCTTTCTTTCCTTCTCCTTGTGAATCATGTCACGCCGGAAGCAGAAACGACCCCAACAGCTCGTTAACTCGGACCCGGGGGGCACGCGGTTACTATCGCACGGTGAGAAAAGTTTATTATGGATATTCTAAGGCATGCGTATGTTTTTATTCCTAGGATATCCCTATAGTTCTATGAATGAATGAAGCAACAAGTTACAGATCGGAATTTACAACTATAATGGTAATCAATAGTGTTAAATAAGGTAACGTTAGATAAGCTGCAGAAACTGGAGTTAAAATCCCGCTAGAGAGTAGGCCTAAAGTTACAAGTTGTCTATTTTATTATAGATGCAGTTTATATATGTAAATTCCTCCTCATATATTGATTTTTACATCTAAAAAGTAATTTTGTGATCAATCATCAGCATAACTTGATCTGTGTATGTCTGTGTTTTATGTTTGCATATTTTATCTTTGCTAAAAGTAATTGGCTCTTGCAATAAGTTAGAGTTTAGTGGATTGCTCAGTCTGCTGTAGCTCTGCAATGGGCCCCAGTAGGGGAGAGCTCCAGGTATTTGAGGGCTGGCCCTGTAAACTTGCCCCTGTGATCTGGATGGTAACATCCATCTGTGGCCATTTTCCTGTGATGCTGAGTCCTCTAGGAAACTAGCGGTCTGCTCAGAATGACTACTGGAGGTCTTTCATTACTTAGAGGAAAGTATCTCTATTCACCAACAATAAGGCTGGGTCGGTGGGTGGAGGAGGGGGTGTTTTTGGTCCAGATTAATCTCTCTCCTCTCCTCTCTCTTCTTCTCCCTCATGTTTAATTTCCTCCTTGTTCTCTTCTTCTCTCCATGTTTTTCTCCCTCATGTTTCATTTCCTCCTTGTTCTCCCCCACACCCTCTGAATGCTTTCCTCTCTAACCCCCACTCTATTGACTGTATACACCTACCCAGTTGGGGGGCTCAGTGTGTAAAATGCAGAGGGGGGAGAATGCAGAATGCATGCACCTTCAGTTGTATTGCATTTGCTGCACAAACACACCTTAAAAAATATGAATTACTTAGAAGTTCTGCAGGTACATTTCCATAGAGGGGAACTTGTTTCAAAGGAACTAGTTTTGAACACCTTGAAATCTGCGAAAGGAACCAAGAATGACAATTTGGCAGCAGTAAATAGTACAGTCATTCATTCCATCACTATATCACTCTAGGAGGGAATAGTTAGTTTGCCTTTCCATTGTCCATACTCCCCCTCCCCCTTCTTTTGTTTCTCTCTCTTTCTCACTCTGTGCTCAAGATTCTGAAAGAATTTGACCCCAGAGCTCTAAAGATCTGAGGAGCAGACCAATCACAAGCCTCTGGACAGTGCCCAGAACCCTTAGCGTGTCCCACCCTCTGACCCCTTATGTGACGTCAGGGGGAAGGGTGAATAGGGAGATGAAAGACGTGAATTGCTGGAGTGAGGAGTGGGTTAAAAGGGGTTATGGGTTTTCTTGGCTATTGCCATTGTCCTTTTAAACATGTTGCCATAGCAACAAGGTGGTTTGTGTTGTAAGAAGATGTTTGGAGAGTTTTGCTCAGGAAAGAAGTAGAGTGGACAGAAGACAAGATAATTTGAGGGGAAAGACTTTGACTCTCTGTATGTTTGCAGACTTAATCAATATTTGCTCATGCATTGCTTTACATGAGAAGCTTGGAATTGAATATGAAAACATTAGCAATTGTTGGAATCAATTATTACAGTTAAAGGTTTGGACTTATAGACTTACTTTGAGCTCCCACTTCAATTCTATAAAGAATGAGGCTTGCACCCTGTCTTTCATGGTTCTTATGGAGACTTAACATCAACAATGAATTTGATCATGAAACTGAACTTTTCATTTGGTTGAATAGAGTGATGAAAAGGCACTAGTCTTAATCCTTACTTTTTCTCTCTCTCTCTGTCCATAGACGACCAGCTGTCAGCAAAGTCACCGTCCATGTCTCTGGGCTCAGAACTGACCTCCTCTGGGTCCTCCTCTGGGTCCTCCCCCACCTCGCTCGAAGGCCGACAGCCCCCCCTGGCCCCTCGGCCATCTCCTGGGGGTCTCCACGCGCCCTCCCTTCCCAGTGAAAGCTCTCCGCCCCCCCTCTGGCCCTGCCACATCGCCCCCTACACCACCTCTCTTCCCAACACCCACTCATCCCTCTCTCCAGACTTCCCTCACCCCTCTTTATCCTCCCAGTCCCTGCCACTCAACCTCAATCAGACATCGGGCCACACCCTCTCCCATCAGGCCCACTCCCATGCCACTATGACCTCACCACAGATGGGCAGCTCTGCCACCATCACTACCTCCTCCTTGTCCTCCTCCTCGTCTTCCCTCCCTCTCCGCCGGAAGAGCACCAGTCCTGGGCATCAGAACGGCTCCAGCCCCCTGGTGCCGGGGCTAGGCCAGATCCAGGTGCCCCCGACCCTGGCTGTGCTCCTGGAGGAGCTCAGGGTGCTGCAGCAGAGGCAGATCCACCAGATGCAGATGACGGAGGAGATCTGTAGGCATGTTCTCCGGCTAGGAGGGGCCATCTATACCCAAGACACCTCCCAGGCTGGTAGTGGAGAGAATAACCAAATACCTACAGCAGGATCCCCCTCCCCACCACACCATCCCTGCTCTGCCCCTGTCCCATCCTCGGCCTCCCCTCTCCTGGCCTGCCTCCCATCCCTCCTCCCCCAGCTCACTGTGTCCAAGCCCAGCCTCTCCTCTCACACTAATGGAAGCAGAGCACCACACTCCTCTACCTCGCCCTCATCCTCTTCCTCCACCACTTGGAGCTCCTCGATAGCCTCCTCCATGCATCCTCTGTCCCTGGGTCTTCCCCCGCGCTATCTCCATGAGAAATCCTCCAACACCTCCCCCTTCGGCCACAGCAACGGGGTCAGCTTCCCAACCCCGCCCCTCCCCACCTCCAGCCACTCCCAGGACCACCTGCTTCAGTCCAGCTCTTCCCTGGGGTCCTTGTCCTCAGCAGGACGTCCTCAGCATGCCTGTAAGTTTTGTGGGAAGGTCTTGAGCAGTGATTCCTCGCTGCAAATCCACCTGCGTTCCCACACAGGTGAGAGGCCCTACCATTGTCCCGTCTGCCTCAGTCGCTTCACCACCCGCGGGAACCTCAAGGCCCACTTCCTGCGTCACCGCGAGCAGAACCCCGAGCTGTCGCTCTCGCTCCTCCCCCCAGCTCTGGAGCAGCCCAGCCCCACCCACGTCGCTGCCACCACCGGCCAGAGACGTAGGAAGCGCCGGGCAGAAGACGAGGAGCCGCCATTCGGAGGCGTGAAAGGAATGACGGAGGGAATGGCACTCGGTTTCCTTTCTGGGGCGTCTCCTCGCCCCTCCTCTTCCTCTATACCTATGCCGCCCAGTATGGACATGGCACTGTTGTCCACGGCTCACTCCCTTTTACAGCTGAACAGGGCCTCCGCTGCAGCAGGCAGCGCCTCAGGTAGTGTGTTACCGTCATCATCCTCATCCTCCATGGGTGGCCAGTTCAAAGGGGTGAAGCAGCAGAGGTTTGATGAGAACACCCCTCCACACTCTGTCCTCCACCCAGGCTCTCCCTACTCCCAGCTGGCCCACTTCCCCAAAATCCTCTTCCCCGGAGGACCCTCGCCCCACCACCTCGCCCTCCTCCGTCCCCCGGGGACCCACCCCTCTACCTCCCATCTCACCTCCCCCCACACCCAGCTCCCATTCCCTCCCTACCCTAAACTCCCCACGTCCTCCCCCTCCTCCTCCTCCACGTCCTTCACCCAAACCTCTGACACCTCCAAGTTGCAGCGACTGGTCCAGAAGCTGGAGAAGCAGCCCCAGAGCGGGGGCCAGTCGTCCTCCCGCGGCCCAGTAGACGGCTCCTCAAACGGGGACACCCACGGCCATGACCTGACCACAAGCTCCAACGCCTACCGCAGGGAGATGATGGCAGCCCTGGGCCTCGGCCCCAACCCCAACATTGAGGCCATGGTGAGCAGCCGGGGACAGGGTCTCCCTGTATCCACCAATCCCGCCCTGGCCCCTAACCAGTGTGGGGTGTGCCTGCGGGTGCTCTCCTGCCCCAGGGCCCTGAGTCTCCATCAGGCCACCCACCTGGGCGAACGCCCCTTCCCCTGTAAGCTGTGTGGACGCTCCTTCTCCACTAAGGGAAGCCTGAGGGCCCACCTCGCCACCCACCGTGCCCGCCCGCCCAACGCCCGCACCCAGAACTCCTGCCCACTGTGCCCGCGCAAGTTCACCAATGCCCTGGTGCTGCAGCACCACATCCGCATGCACCTGGGGGGCCAGATACCCCCAGGGGGTGAGGGAGAGGAAGGCACAGATATGTCCCAAGAAGATCTGGGCCAAATGACCACAGCCTCTCCATCCAAACCCTCTAGCCTCCAAGGCCTCCACCCCCTGGCCTTAACAATGACCAGCTCCATCTCTAACCCTAACCCGCTGGTCAGTAGCTTAGACTTCGGAGGTCCGGCGACCAAGCAATCCCAGGCAGCTGACCCAAGCCCCCCTGTAGAGGGGGAGTGTGAACCCTCACCCTCCACGGCCAGCATTAGCCCACCTCTGACCCATAATCCCTCCCCTGAAGACCCCATGCTCCTGGGGGAAAGATCTGAGTCAGACTCCGGCCCATCTGCAGCCTCTGTGGAAGACTTGCAAGACTCCCCAGCTGACCTTTCTAACGCCAGCCTAATTAAGCTACCCAAGACATCCTCGACCAGCTCCTTGCCTGCCTCAGTGGGGAATGGTGAGGCAGAGGAGGAGGAAAACATCCCTCTTGCCCTTTGTGTCTCCAGACCAGCTTTGGATACTGATGGTAGTAGGTCAGGGGGGCTCACCAATGGCTCTGGCTCAATCACAGAGAACCACACCAACTCTCCAGATGGACTCATCCCCAGTCCTGAATCTGATTCCACCCCGAAATCCCCCGCCACCCTCAACCCCTCACCCACGCTCACCCCTCCTGCCAGCCCTAAAGCAGCTTCAGAGCCAGCCCAGTCCCCCAGTATCACCCCACCGGAGCCCAGTCCTGAAGGGGAGACAGTCCAACTTGAAGGGGAGAGTGAGAGCACAGCACCCAGAGACACCTCATCGGTCATGGGGCCTGAGAGAGAGAAGCAGACCCCTAGCTCCACGGAGGAGAGTGATAGGGCTCCAGAGGAACCAGAGACCTCCCAGCTAGCCACCCCAGCCTCAACGCCCTCCAAACCCTACTCCTGCACCCTGTGTGGGAAGGCATACGCCAGCCGCAGTGGATTAAAGGTATAAAAAGCATAAGATAAGGATATAATGTATTAGTACCATATGTTCCTATGGATATACAGAACACTTGACAGAAGCTAACTTTTGATTCTTGAGATTGGAAAATTAAAAAAGTGTGGTGCAATTGCTCTATTTCTCATGTTTTACTGTTGTTTTATGTTAGCAATTATATTCTAATTAAAGTTATTGATCACTTAACTAATAAAATGTTTATGTTTCCATCAACAGGGACACATGAAGACACACCCTGTGTTGACCAACGTTCCCACCGAGACTCCTCCTCCCGCCACCCTGACCAATGACAATGAAACTACGGAGGATCCGAGTTCGGTCTCAGCCAATGGAAAGGAGGATGAAAAGTAACGATTGGCCAAATCTCCTGAGAAACGTGTTACCTTAGAGAATCAGCCAATCACTGCTGCATCTGGGAAGGAAGCAGAGAAACCTGTGGACACTACTGAGTAAAAAGGCATATGATTGGCAGCTTAACGGCGTCAGTCAGTCAGTCAGTCAAAAAAAAAAAGGCCCTGACAAGGGAATGTATTTTCGTCATATAATTAGAATTGATTCTAGAATGATTGATTTTAATTCTGTGTAGTTTTGGTACTAGTCATTTGGGTCTATTTTGTCTATATTAGAATGTTAGATTGTTGTGATGTTTTAATTCAGTCGGCATGGTTACGATATCACTATCTCAAAGAACACAATGAGGCCTTATTGACAACATGATGTCACAGAATTGTCTTGTAGTGTAACGGCAACCAGTGCCGTATGTGTGTTGGATCGCAATTGAATAGATGAGCAGGGATGTATGTTTTAGAGCAGCTAGTTCTAGTCAAACATATGAATGAAATTCACTTTTTAATTCTAAAATAGGGATGAAGTGATGAAGAGAAATGTGTTTTCTACTGAATTATCACTGTAGGATCTATGGTATGAACTCCATACCAAAACAGGCCAGCGTAGTAGTGGCCATTTCCTTGTATATATGAACCATGTTACTATTTGTAGGTTTTTTACTGACTTTGTACTTTTTAAACTGTCTTGCTGCTGTACTGATGTTTCAATGGAGTTGCACTGACTGTGTACACTGCTGTCTATACATCCATTGAAACAGAGATGATGATGATGAATGTGTTACATTGACCAGTCCGTATATACAATGTATTTTGGCAATCCTGGTTCCTGCCGTTGTGAGTGACCATACAGCAGGAACCTGAAAAATGAACAATGATGACTTATATCAGTGATTGTAATTGGTTTATCCATAATTTATTGGATATATCTGCACAGGGACATACAGAAGTAGCCTGACAGCCAAATAGATTGTGTTATGTTTCACTGTTGTGAAGTTTTGGTACCAGGCTAGTGTTGAAGTATAGCAGAAACTGGTGTATAAACCAACTGAACTTCCCGAGGACCAGGATGAACTATATCTGATGGATAACCTCATCCCTCCTTGTCTGTTGTCTGTCTTTCCTCTTCTCTTTCTCTCCTCCTCTTCCCTCTCACCCTCCCTCCTGTTCCCTCTTACCTCCTATTCCTTCTCTCCCTCTCTCTCTCAAAGCACTTGAGAGTTCAAGTTTTCTGCCCTGCAGAAATTGTCTGCACTGTATCCTACATTAGATCAGTTTAGTTGTAGTACTTTATTTTGCCTTCGTGTGGTTTTTCCCAACCATTGTTTTTGTAGTTATGATGATAACATGTGCTTTCCATTTTTTTTTTATGTCAAAAAGAGAAAATAAAATACTTCTGATTGTGGAAACATAGCTTTTTGGTTGTCTGGCTGTCTGTGTACATTGTTTATCACTGTCTGTCTCAGTACAGCTGGTCGCAGTCTATTCATCTATCTGTTTAAGTATTCTGTTTGCATGTCAACATGTTCTGTATGTCGGAGTGTGCTCTGTCTCGCTATTTGTCTCAGCGCTCTGTATGTCTGGCTGTCTGTCTCACAGTTCCTTTGTCTGGGCGCTATAGCCGTCTACTTATTCTGCCTTTTTTGGCCTCACTTTGTATGTTTCAGTTCCTCCGTTCTGTGGTGTGTGTGTGTGTGTGCGTGTGTGTGTGTGTGTGTGTGTGAAAGGGATAATCAGTGCTTCTGTGATTGAAAGTGCAGCTGTAGAGGCCCCCCTCACCCCCCTTCTTTCTCTCTGTCATACTCTCTTTCATACTCACTCTCTTTCATTTTCTCTTTCATTTTCCCTCTCTCTCTGTCCTCCCCCTCCCAGTGTAATAGTCCGACACATAGGAAGCTTTAATCCTTACACAATGATAGCCCTCATCCCCCACCCCTATGCGACAGTGAGCGGGACATGGGGCAGCACACACAGAGACCTGGGCCAGCTGTCCCCAAAATGGCCGCCTTAATCCTCCAACCACCCTTACCACTAGCTGAGGCTCCCAAAACCATGACAACCGGTAACCAAGGAGAGGAATTTGGGAGCAGAAAGGGGAAAGAGACAAAGGGCTGAAAAGAAGCCATGTGTGAGAAGTTTGTCCACATGCGTTGGGAATGAGACAGAGACATGTCTCAATCAAAAAAGTGGAGTTTGAAAGTGATGCAGGGATGGTGGTTGGGTTTGAGAGGAAACGGGTGGAGTTGTCACACAAGTGTGGAGGGGGTACTTGATCAGCAAACTTTTGATGACATAGGCTACCTATAGATATTGATCAGGTGAGAAGGCTTTATTAATGTTAATGGACAGCTAATATCTGTCTTTAATCAATTTATCATCAATGATCAGTGATGGGAAAAGTATCCAATTGTCATACTTGAGTAAAAGTATAGATACCTTAATAGAAATTTATTCAAGTAAAAGTGAAAGTCACCCAGTAAAATACTACTTGAGTAAAAGTCTAAAAGTATTTGGTTCTAAATATACTTAACTATCAAAAGTAAATGTAATTGCTAAAATATACTTAAGTATCAAAAGTAAAAGTATAAATCATTTCAAATTCCTTATATTAAGCAAAGCAGACGGCACCGTTTTCTTGTTTAGAAAATGTACAGATAGTCAGGGGCACACTCAGACATCAATCACAAATTATGCATTTGTGTTTAGTGAGTCTGCCAGATCAGAGGCAGTAAGGATGACCACGTGTTCTCTTGGTAAGTGCGAATTTGACAATTTTCCTTTCCTGCTAAGCATTCAAAATGTAACATGTACTTTTGGGTGTCATGGAAAATGTACGTAGTAAAAAGTACATTATTTTCTTTAGGAATGTAGTGAAGTAAAAGTAGTCATAAATATAAATAGTAAAGTACAGATACCCTCCAAAAAACACTTAAGTAGTACTTTAAAGTAGTTTTACTTAAGTACTTTACACCACTGTCAATGATCATGAATCAATTCAGATGAAGTGTCAAAATCATGTTCCAAAACTAATGTTCATTGTTTAAATATCTAACTACATTCAGAACAAAGTTGAAAGTTCTGCCAATCATGAACACTGACTCATCACAAAAGCAGAGATACCACAATAAGCATAATTATGTTTTAGAGAGGGGAGCTAGCAACTGGAGGATTGCCAGTTTGAATCCCGGGTCTGACGGGAAAAATATGTCAGGAAGTGAGCTGGCAATCGGAGGGTTGCTGGTATCAAATCCTAGATACCATTACCTGCAGTTGTGCCCTTGAGCAAGGCACTTAACCCCCTACAACAACAGCTCCCCGGGCACCCTCTCCAAAACCTGTATGTGTATGTATGTGTGTCTTTCGGAGGGGTTGGGTTAAAAGCAGAAGTCACATTTCAGTTGGAACATCAAAGTGATCTTAATATTAAATGCTAAAACCGTTAATTTGCCAATTTTGAGGAATTGGAGGTGTGTAGCAAATTATGACCACAAGACGGGGCTGTGTAACCTATTTTGGGGTTTCCGCATCAATTCCAACGATTCAATGCAGATAGCTCCTCATGTCTTCATCATAAATCAAGATTGTTAACTATATGATTCAATAATAATATAGTGGTTTCAAATATGATCACATGGCACATACAATAAGTTAGGATAGTGATGAAAAATTCTAAGTGACTTCGAGTCCTCAACATCCTTTGAATCATACTTGAATCATTTCTTAGAGTGAGTCATCATTCATTTGATTCACATGCTGCTTCCTACTGTGCCAGATTATTGACGATGACGAGCAAAGAAACATCAACAACAACATCAATGCCTAACATAATAGCCCAAAACTAAAGCAAGCATCACCATCAACAGGTAGGCTAAAACAAGAACTAAACGGTTATGTTGACTTTAATTGCTACAGCAGAAAGTATGCGTTAACTTGTGTTACAGTATTGCTTCCGTTCCTTTCCTCGCCCTAACCTGGGCTTGAACCAAGGTCCCTCTAAAATGCTACTAGCGCGCACGCTAAACCAGCCATTTCACACCGGTTACACTTGTTAATAGCCCCGTAAACGTGATCAGGCCTGTTAATGCATTATTAATCAATTTGATGGGAAACAATTAATTTGACAGCGAAATCCATTATCAGAACACAGTGGCATTATAAACTCAGTCCCTCCATCTCCCTCCTCTTCTTCCCCCTGTCTCCTTGGTAGCTGCTGGGACAGAAAACAGAAATTGGTCAGCTGATCAGCTGTGTACCTTCAGACTCCGGTAGGAGAGCGAACAGGGTGGCTGAAGCCAAGTCAGAGCAGAGGACGCGGCGTGACGGACAGAAAGGGAAGGGCATCAGTTGAGAGCGCACAGAGATATTTCGATCACTTTGTTACAATAGTGAGTACAACAATGAGGGATGACATGAACGTGCTATAAAAAGCTGCCACATAGGCTTTCGAGAAGAAGAGCTGGAGGACACCCAAGGGAAGGAAGCCAAGTTCAACTATAGCGCATCTGGAGAAGGTAAGACCCCTGAATTAATTGGCATGTAACCTAACTAACCTACAGTAGCAATGCAGGGTTTTAAATTTCTATTATATCTTTCAAATACATAGACTGTAGTTTGGCTGTAATTGTACATTTTACTATCTGTTTAAAATGTGTTTTTCTTTCAGGAGCTATCATTACATTACAGATGGACTTCCAATGGCATTCCTATGTAGCTAATGGTCATCAATAAAACGTGCTGTGTCAACTCGTCAGCTTTAACAGCTCTGCAATGAATAAGCTCTGAGTTGGCCAAATGATTGCTGCCAACTTGTCATACTGAATAGTTTATTTCTAGTTTTGAGAGCGAGAGAGAAGAATAGAGAGAGAGAGAGAGAGAGAGAGAGAGAGAGAGCATGTGGTATAGATACATTTCAGGAAGGATACAGCAACCTTGAGTGGTATATGATAGTCTCTTTGAGGAGCCTACTTATCAGTGCCTGCTTGGACCTTGTACCTCACTTCCAGGACCTCTCTACTTTTTAACGTCTCCTGCCCTTTGTAATCACATACAGGGACTAGGCTATCTACTGTCCTCCGTCGCAATCACTCTTTCTTTTGAACTGAACTCACATGCCAGGGGTATCTATCTGCACTACTTCTCCATCTCTCCCCTTCTCCCCCACCCCGTCTCATCCCTACCACGGACTGTGTAGCCTACGTCTACTGTATCCATTTGAGCTCTCTGTTCCTGGTGTTTATGATGTAAGATTGATTAATGTGATCAGACCTGTTTTTACTTGCTGTGTCAGGAGGACGATGCTCTGTCCCTGTGATATGATATGACCGCCTATAATTGACCTGTTGTTTTGTATTGTGATTGATTTTCTCCAGAGCCACACAGATCTATAGATTATATGACTCTGATTCGCTCTCTGTCTCACACTCATTCACTCCCACCTGTTTTATCTCATTGTTTTGCTCTTCTGATAGTATCAGTGTTCTTTTTCTACCTATTGGTCAATTTGTCTGTCTACTTCATTGCTCTCTCTATCTCTACCAGTCTACTGTTAAGGTTTGCCTCTGTTCTAATTTTTGGTTTTATTCAGTGTTCCGGGTTGTTCTATCATCCCCTGTCTTGCTCTACTGGCCAAGCACTGTTCGTCCAATCAGCATTATTGTTCATTACAACACAGTTTCATTGTCTATTTATATGTTTTTCAATCAACTCCCTCCCCTAACCTACAGGGATCCCCAAAACAACTTATCTTGTACCAGGAATAGCCATTAAGTAGCTGGGGCCCCTGCCCTGTCCCCTCTCTCACACAGAGAAGTGTGTGTGTGTGTATGTGACAAACTGTAGCTAGCCCAGGACCCCTGCCCGGCCCTGTCCCCTCACTCAGAGAGAGCAGGGTTGTTTTGTTCATGTGCTGTATGTCCTGACTGAGCATGTGTGATATAATGCAGCTGGATGTGCACTAAGCTGCATTAACACAGCATGTGTCTAGTCATTCAAACTCCATACATGCTGCTGAAGGTAATTAACTTTGAAAAACATGTGAGGCTTCGGTTCAGCATGCGGTTGACTCCTAGCAACGCTTGGTGTGTGTATGTGACTGTAGAATAGTTACAGTAAAAATACTAAAAAGATCACATTGGCACTCAGTGACAGCCGGTAACGAACGTTACAGTGTTATCAGGCCTGTGTGCCTCTCTCTCTCACTCTGTCAATACACTTAAGCTTAAAAGTCAATTTACCGAAACCCCTAATGGCTCTCAAATTGCCATCTGTGAAACCCAGTTCAATAACCAACAGCGTGTGTGTGTGTGTGTCTGTTAACATTTGTGAATTGTTAAGTATCATACAAACAAACATTTATGTACAAAAATAAAAATAACTGACAGTGCCATTTGATGACAGCTTGGTTTCCATGGCAACACCAACACACTCTCTTATAAGACTTGTATGTCTCTTTCCTCCACAGATGTCAGAGGGACCCTCATAGCTGGGATACCACTTTACCTCAGCTCTTATAACCAATCCTCTCCACCAACTGACTGATTGACAGCCACCTGGTCCAATCACTGCTGCTCACTTCCCCACATCCCCTCTCCAATCACCAACCTCCACTCCACCACAATGGCGTCCTACAGCCCCGCCCCCACACAAGCACACGCCACCAACGGCGGGTCACCCTCGCTCAAGTCGGGCAGCTCGGGGGGCGACAACGATTCCATGAAGCTGAAGAAGGAGATCTCTCTCCTGAACGGTGTGTGTCTCATCGTGGGCAACATGATCGGCTCGGGCATCTTCGTCTCGCCTAAAGGCGTCTTAATCTATAGCGCCTCCTACGGGCTGTCACTGGTAGTGTGGACCATCGGCGGTATCTTCTCTGTGTTCGGGGCCTTATGTTATGCTGAGCTGGGGACCACCATCACCAAGTCAGGGGCCAGTTATGCTTACATCCTGGAGGCCTTCGGAGGGTTCCTGGCCTTCATCAGGCTGTGGACGTCCCTGTTGATCATAGAGCCCACCAGCCAGGCAGTCATAGCCATCACCTTCTCCAACTACATGGTGCAGCCCGTCTTCCCTACCTGCATAGCACCCTATCTGGCTAACCGCATGTTGGCAGCGGCCTGTATATGTGAGTATTTTATAGTCATTGTGTATGGGGGGTTGTTGTTTGTGTGTTGGTGCAATACTGTTCCACTGTCTCTACTATGGCTAGGGCCCTGAGTTTTTCCTAACCACTGGAACTGATCAGGAAAAACTTGGGGCCCCAACCATAGTATGGGCAAGGACTTTGCATACAGACAGTGTGTGTGCGCGTGTGCGTGTGTGTGTTCACAGTCCCATTTGTGCTAAATGTGGATGTATGGGTTTATGTGCCTCTCTTTGTGGAAAAAGGGGGGAACAGAAACTACATGACGGCATACCCACGTCAGCACCTCAGCAACAGAAGGGAACACTAGAAAGGTTGAAAGAGGAACAGCGAGGGGAGGACAGAGACAACAGACTACAACACGTGCTTCCTGTCTAAAAGACAGAAGATAGGGGAGAATCTACTCAACTTTTTAAAACGTCTGTGTGACTTGTCTCATCTTATCACATGACCTGACCAGATAAAACTGCAAGCATAGCCCATGACTCATGACAATAGTGTACTGTAAATTGATAATTTATAAACCAAGGGAGGCAAGGATGAAAAGAGATGAGTAAGGTAATATGTAGAGAGAGGAGGGGAGGGAGTGTTGAGACATGGATATAGTTCTTACAGATTAGTAGAAAACTGGACCTCAGCACAACCACTAATAGTTATATTATTCTTGTGGTCATTAGTAGGTAAAGTATAAGACAGACTACTGGAACAGATCGATAGAACACATAGAACATAAACAACAGGATGGAACCCTGGGTCAAGTAGACAGAAGTTTGGGACAGATACAGAATACCACTACTACAGCAACCAGATAGAACACTGTTACAATACTTACTAAAACGGATAGGCCTGAGATAAGCCTTCTCCTTCAAGTTCCAAAAAATTACTCAAGTAATAAATATCACTCAATCATCTAATTACAATCCCTACACACCAACATCCACACACACACACATAGATAAACAATGCTTTGAGGACTGTGAATGTGCTGATAGCTGCTAGTTAGAAAGGTAAAAGTAATTTCTACTTCAAGACTCTGACCCCAGGCTAATGGCTGGGGTCAGTCTTGAAGCATGGCAGCTCAGCATGACAAAGAAGTGAACCATAACCACAGATCTAGGATCTGATTTCTCTGCACCCCATCCTTACCTTAACCTTCAAGTGTATGGAAAAATACCCGATCCTCTATCAGTGGTTACAGGCATTAGGCGACTTCAACAGCCAATGAGAAGACCAGAAACACCCCCAGGTAGAAATGAACTATTACCACAGATCTAGGATCAGATTACCCTACTGTCAACCCCAACCTTAACCATCAGGCAGATGGAAAAATACCTGTATCAGTGGTTAGGAATTCTCCGTACACTATAGGACTGCGCCCATACATGGCAGACGTCAATCTTCCCCTTATTTTGACAAAGTCTATGGTCTCCCCTCACATCTGGTCCAGATCTAGACGATCCAAATGGACCAACCTGATCTACACCCTCCCACCCTTCTAGCCTTTCACTGTCAATACAACCACGCCTTGGACATCTGTGTGGCCAGCTACACTCTGTCAGTCATCTGTTAGTCCAGATCACTCACTGTCTCGGGTCTGGGCGGTGTGATATGATATGTTTAACCTTTTACTGTAGTGGGCAAAATCAGGGTCACACACAGTGTTTCTTAGTAGTCTTAAACACATCTACTTTGAAACAAAAGTCTACACCTCACATACAGTACATGGTTATGGGCTTAACAGAAAGAAGACACCTGTACCATGTCAGATATAGAGTTGAAATGTATTACATTTTGTGTTTGCATCCCAATATTACACTTTGTATACATCACAGAAGACTGAAATACACTACATGACCAAAATGTGGACACCTGCTTGTCAAACATCTCATTCCAAAATCATGGGCATTAATATGGAGTTGTCCCCCCCCCTTGGGAGATGGTGTTATGGTTCTCATGCTGAAACAGGAAAGGGCCTTCCCCAAACTGTTGCCACAAAGTTGGAAGCACAGAATTGTCTACAATGTCATTGTATGCTGTAGTGTTAAGATTTCCATTCACTGGAACTAAGGGGCCTAGGCCGAACCATGAAAAACAGCCCTAGACCGTTATTCCTCCTCCACCAAACATTACAGTCGTCACTATGCATTGGGGCAGGTAGCGTTCTCCTGTCATCCGCCAAATCCAGATTTGTCCGTCGGACTGCTAGATGGTGAAGCTTGATTCGTCATTCCGGAGAACACGTTTCCACTGCTCCAGAGTCCAATGGCGGCGAGCTTTACACCACTCCAGCCGACGCTTGGCATTGCGCATGGTGAACTTAGGCTTGTGTGCGGCTGCTCGGCCATGGAGCTCCCGACGAACAGTTCTTGTGCTGACGTTGCTTCCAGAGGCAGTTTGGAACTCGGTAGTGAGTGTTGCAACCAAGGACAGACAATTTCTACGCGCTACAGCACTTCAGCACTCGTCGTCCCGTTCTGTGAGCATTTGTGGCCTACCACTTTGCTTCACAATAACAGCACTTACAGTTGACCGGGGCAGCTCTAGCAGGGCAGAAATTTGACAAACTGACTTGTTGGAAAGGTGGCATCCTATGACGGTGCCACGTTGAAAGTCACTTAGCTCTTCAGGAATACAATTCTACTGCCAATGTTTGTCTATGGAAATTGCATGGCTGTGTGCTTGATTTTATACACCTGTCAGCAATGGGTGTGGCTGAAATAGCCAAATCCACTCATTTGAAGGAGTGTCCACATACTTTTGTATATATAGCGTATAACAAAACCGTTTGACATAGAAACACCGGATTTTCAGCAGTTTCTTTTGAAATATTGTTTATTAATTATGAGATTATGAAAAATATTAATACATTCCACCCATGAGACCACTAGAAGGCGATTTGGTCATTTGACTGCAGGAAAGCTAAGGAGACCTATTGATAGGAGACTGTTTTGGTCTATGTCTTCATGTCTCTTCATGCCTCATTTGGGGGAGGAAGGGTGGGATGGTGTTATGGTTCTCCAGTCATTTGGGGGAGGAAGGGGGAGATGGTGTTATGGTTCTCCAGTCGTTTGGGGGAGGAAGGGGGAGATGGTGTTATGGTTCTCCCGTCATTTGGGGGAGGAAGGGGGAGATGGTGTTATGGTTCTCCGGTCATTTGGGGGAGGAAGGGGGAGATGGTGTTATGGTTTTCCAGTCATTTGGGGGAGGAAGGGGGAGATGGTGTTATGGTTCTCCGGTCATTTGGGGGAGGAAGGGGAAGATGGTGTTATGGTTCTCCGGTCATTTGGGGGAGGAAGGGGGAGATGGTGTTATGGTTCTCCGGTCATTTGGGGGAGGAAGAGGGAGATGGTGTTATGGTTCTCCAGTCATTTGGGGGAGGAAGGGGGAGATGGTGTTATGGTTCTCCAGTCATTTGGGGGAGGAAGGGGGAGATGGTGTTATGGTTCTCCAGTCGTTTGGGGGAGGAAGGGGGAGATGGTGTTATGGTTCTCCCGTCATTTGGGGGAGGAAGGGGGAGATGGTGTTATGGTTCTCCGGTCATTTGGGGGAGGAAGGGGGAGATGGTGTTATGGTTTTCCAGTCATTTGGGGGAGGAAGGGGGAGATGGTGTTATGGTTCTCCGGTCATTTGGGGGAGGAAGGGGAAGATGGTGTTATGGTTCTCCGGTCATTTGGGGGAGGAAGGGGGAGATGGTGTTATGGTTCTCCGGTCATTTGGGGGAGGAAGAGGGAGATGGTGTTATGGTTCTCCAGTCATTTGGGGGAGGAAGGGGGAGATGGTATTATGGTTCTCCAGTCATTTGGGGGAGGAAGGGGGAGATGGTGTTATGGTTCTCCCGTCATTTGGGGGAGGAAGGGGGAGATGGTGTTATGGTTCTCCAGTCATTTGGGGGAGGAAGGGGGAGATGGTGTTATGGTTCTCCAGTCGTTTGGGGGAGGAAGGGGAGATGGTGTTATGGTTCTCCAGTCATTTGGGGGAGGAAGGGGGAGATGGTGTTATGGTTCTCCAGTCATTTGGGGGAGGAAGGGGGAGATGGTGTTATGGTTCTCCAGTCATTTGGGGGAGGAAGGGGGAGATGGTGTTATGGTTCTCCAGTCGTTTGGGGGAGGAAGGGGGAGATGGTGTTATGGTTCTCCAGTCATTTGGGGGAGGAAGGGGGAGATGGTGTTATGGTTCTCCAGTCATTTAGGGGAGGAAGGGGGAGATGGTGTTATGGTTCTCCAGTCATTTAGGGGAGGAAGGGGGAGATGGTGTTATGGTTCTCCATTCATTTGGGGGAGGAAGGGGGAGATGGTGTTATGGTTCTCCAGTCATTTGGGGGAGGAAGGGGGAGATGGTGTTATGGTTCTCCAGTCATTTGGGGGAGGAAGGGGGAGATGGTGTTATGGTTCTCCAGTCATTTGGGGGAGGAAGGGGGAGATGGTGTTATGGTTCTCCGGTCATTTGGGGGAGGAAGGGGGAGGTGGTGTTATGGTTCTCCAGTCATTTGGGGGAGGAAGGGGGAGATGGTGTTATAGTTCTCCCGTCATTTGGGGGAGGAAGGGGGAGATGGTGTTATGGTTCTCCAGTCATTTAGGGGAGGAAGGGGGAGATGGTGTTATGGTTCTCCAGTCGTTTGGGGGAGGATGGGGAGATGGTGTTATGGTTCTCCAGTCATTTCGGGGAGGAAGGGGAAGATGGTGTTATGGTTCTCCAGTCATTTGGGGGAGGAAGGGGGAGATGGTGTTATGGTTCTCCAGTCATTTGGGGGAGGAAGGGGGAGATGGTGTTATGGTTCTCCAGTCGTTTGGGGGAGGAAGGGGAGATGGTGTTATGATCAATGATGTACATAGGCCTATATGCGCATATGTAGGGTTACGATTAGGGCCCTGACCACGTAACTACACTAGGAAAACCTCAGGGCCCTGACCACGTAACTACACTAGGAAAACCTCAGGGCCCTGACCACGTAACTACATGGGAGATGGTGTTATGGTTCTCCAGATGTGTTTATAGCTGTATATGTGTGTCAGCTGAAGTTTATTTTTTACCATGAACATGCACTTGAGTTAATCATTTAAGCAAACACTGTATGGTAGATGACATTATGGCTGCTTTTCATTAATGCATGAAAATATTGCTGAGGAGCATTTTGAGTATATCAGAGGCTCACTAAACATGATGTAGTGTGTGAGATATATAGTGTGCGTCTAAAATGGCACCCTATTCCCTATGTAGTACAATAATTTTAATCAGACCCGGGCTCTGGTCAAAAGTAGTGTACTACATAGGGAATAGGGTGCCATTTGGGATGCAGCCATATTGAAAGGAGGGATACATTGAATACATATTCAATCTCAGTGAATGGGAGGACAGTAATGATTCAGACTGGACCATCCTATGACTATATCTCCATGTAGGTTTATGAACTTGAAGGAACAAACACTGATAAGGAGAGAGAGAGAGAGAGAGAGATAAGGTGAACTGGAAAACATGTTTTCTTAAAACTGGGGGAGCAGTGTACTACAAGGACAAAGTTAGGAACTCAGTCTGTATCTGTCAGTTGGTCGATTGGTCAGTCAGTGTGTCAGTCAGTCAGTGTGTCAGTCAGTCAGCCAGTCTGTATTTGTCAGTAAGCTAGTCAGTCAGCCAGTCTGTATTTGTCAGTAAGCTAGTCAGTCTGTATTTGTCAGTAAGCTAGTCAGTCAGCCAGTCTGTATTTGTCAGTAAGCTAGTCAGTCAGCCAGTCTGTATTTGTCAGTAAGCTAGTCAGTCAGCCAGTCTGTATTTGTCAGTAAGCTAGTCAGTCAGCCAGTCTGTATTTGTCAGTAAGCTAGTCAGTCCAGCCAGTCTGTATTGTCAGTAAGCTTGTCAGTCAGTCAGCCCAGTCTGTATTTGTCAGTAAGCTAGTCAGTCAGCCAGTCTGTATTTGTCAGTAAGCTAGTCAGTCAGTCAGCCAGTCTGTATTTGTCAGTAAGCTTGTCAGTCAGTCAGCCAGTCTGCATTTGTCAGTAAGCTTGTCAGTCAGCCAGTCTGTATCTGTCGGTAAGCTAGTCAGAAGGTCAGCCAGTCTGTATTTGTCGGTCAGTCAGCCAGGAAGCTAGACAGTCAGTCAGTATGTTAGTATTTTGACTAATGTTTTGTAGAGGTCTTTAAATAACCTCAAGGAGTGCACTTTATCTGTCTGCTCCCCCCCCCCTTTCTTTTTTTCTTCCTCCTCTCTACATGTCTCTCTCTATGTGCTGCACTCTGCTCTTTCTCTCAGAGGAAAACAACTGTTTGGACTGCTGCAGTCAGCAGCCTCATTTCCTCAAGCTACGCATACTCTAAAACTAGAACACACGCACACACGTCAGCGTAGTGGCCAATCAGAGTCCAGACTTGCTCATCCACAGGGCATTCTGACTCTCAGGGAACCCCTTATGTAGATAGATAAGCCTATACTGAGGTAAAATGATGTTGCTATAGTAGACAGCCACACAATGCACTGTGTGTGTGTGTGTGTGTGTGTGTGTCTGAGTGTGTGTGTGTTTGTCTCTCTTTCTCTCACTCTGCAGTAACATGTAGATCTAAATGTCTGTGTTTCCCCCACAGGTTTGCTGACCTTTGTGAACTGTGCCTATGTGAAGTGGGGGACGCGTGTTCAGGACTTCTTCACCTATGCTAAGGTCATCGCTCTCATCGCTGTCATCATCACCGGCCTGGTCAAGATAGGCCAAGGTACCGATGCCAGGATGTTTCACACGCAATACAAATAATAAATCGTACAAATATTCACCCATCCATCCACTATACGGAACATTCACAGACACATATATGCACACTGAACACTCTGACATGTTCCTTCGCATACATTTATTTGACATACCTTACATACAGTGGGGGAAAAAAGTATTTAGTCAGCCACCAATTGTGCAAGTTCTCCCACTTAAAAAGATGAGAGAGGCCTGTAATTTTCATCATAGGTACACGTCAACTATGATAGACAAATTGAGAAAAAAAAATCCAGAAAATCACATTGTAGGATTTTCTATGAATTTATTTGCAAATTATGGTGGAAAATAAGTATTTGGTCACCTAGAAACAAGCAAAATTTCTGGCTCTCACAGACCTGTAACTTCTTCTTTAAGAGGCTCCTCTGTCCTCCACTCGTTACCTGTATTAATGGCACCTCTTTGAACTTGTTATCAGTATAAAAGACACCTGTCCACAACCTCAAACAGTCACACTCCAAACTCCACTATGGCCAAGACCAAAGAGCTGTCAAAGGACACCAGAAACAAAATTGTAGACCTGCACCAGGCTGGGAAGACTGAATCTGCAATAGGTAAGCAGCTTGGTTTGAAGAAATCAACTGTGGGAGCAATTATTAGGAAATGGAAGACATACAAGACCACTGATAATCTCCCTCGATCTGGGGCTCCACGCAAGATCTCACCCCGTGGGGTCAAAATGATCACAAGAACGGTGAGCAAAAATCCCAGAACCACACGGGGGGACCTAGTGAATGACCTGCAGAGAGCTGGGACCAAAGTAACAAAGCCTACCATCAGTAACACACTACGCCGCCAGGGACTCAAATCCTGCAGTGCCAGACGTGTCCCCCTGCTTAAGCCAGTACATGTCCAGGCCCGTCTGAAGTTTGCTAGAGTGCATTTGGATGATCCAGAAGAGGACTGGGAGAATGTCATATGGTCAGATGAAACCAAAATATAACTTTTTGGTAAAAACTAAACTCGTCGTGTTTGGAGGACAAAGAATGCTGAGTTGCATCCAAAGAACACCATACCTACTGTGAAGCATGGGGGTGGAAACATCATGCTTTGGTGCTGTTTTTCTGCAAAGGGACCAGGACGACTGATCCGTGTAAAGGAAAGAATGAATGGGGCCATGTATCGTGAGATTCTGAGTGAAAACCTCCTTACATCAGCAAGGGCATTGAAGATGAAACGTGGCTGGGTCTTTCAGCATGACAATGATCCCAAACACACCGCCCGGGCAACGAAGGAGTGGCTTCGTAAGAAGCATTTCAAGGTCCTGGAGTGGCCTAGCCAGTCTCCAGATCTCAACCCCATAGAAAATCTTTGGAGGGAGTTGAAAGTCCGTGTTGCCCAGCGACAGCTCCAAAACATCACTGCTCTAGAGGAGATCTGCATGGAGGAATGGGCCAAAATACCAGCAACAGTGTGTGAAAACTTTGTGAAGACTTACAGAAAACGTTTGACCTGTGTCATTGCCAACAAAGGGTATATAACAAAGTATTGAGAAACTTTTGTTATTGACCAAATACTTACTTTCCACCATCATTTGCAAATAAATTCATTAAAAATCCTACAATGTGATTATCTGGATTATTTTTTCTCATTTTGTCTGTCATAGTTGACGTGTACCTATGACGAAAATTACAGGCCTCTCTCATCTTTTTAAGTGGGAGAACTTGCACAATTGGTGGCTGACTAAATACTTTTTTCCCCCACTGTATTTATGTTATATTGACATACATTAATTTGCAGCAGTTAGTGTATGCATTTATGTACATGTTATAATACAGGATCATGTGTGTGTTCCTCAGGTCAGACACAGAACTTTGAGGGCATGTTTGAGGGCTCGACGACGGATCCAGGAGACATAGCTCTGGCCCTTTACTCTGCTCTGTTCTCTTACTCTGGATGGGACACACTCAACTTCGTCACTGAGGAGATCAAAAACCCAGAGAGGTTAGGGGGAAAAAGAGGGAGGGCATGATAAAGGTACCAGTGGGCAAAGGGTTAACTCTCTGTAAGGAATAAGGAGTAGTGACGGAGTAGAGGACAGGTAGCAATGAGAGTATAGTGAATGGATGCTTAGAGATATGGAAGGAGTAAAGGCAGTGTTGGAAAAAGTACCCAACTGTCATACTTGAGTAAAAGTAAAGATACCTTAATAGAAAATGACTCAAGTGAAAGTCACCCAGTAAAATACTACTTGAGTAAAAGTCTAAAAGTATTTGGTTTTAAATATACTTAAGTATCAAAAGTAAATGTTATTGCAAAAATATACTTAAGTATCAAAAGGAAAAGTATAAATCATTTCTAAATGCTTATATTAAGCAAACCAGAAGGCACAATTTTCTTGTTCTTTTTATTTACGGATAGCCAGGGGAACACTACAACACGCAGACATAATTTACAAATGAAACATGTGTTTAGTGATTCCGCCAGATCAGAGGCAGTAGGGATGACCAGGGATGTTCTCTTGATAAGTGTGTGAATTGGACCATTTTCCTGACCTGCTAAGCATTGAAAATGTAACTAATACTTTTTGGGGTCAGGGAAAATGTATGGAGTAAAAAGTACATACTTTTTTAGTGAAGTAAAAGTTGTCAAAAATATGTATAGTAAAGAAAAGTACAGATACCCCAAAAAAACGACTTAAGTAGTACTTGAACGTTTTTTACTTAAGTATTTTACACCACTGAGTAAAGGGATGAGAGGGCATAGGTGTAGAATGAAGGGAAGACTTGAGACAGGATGCGAGTATAATAAGGAGAGGGGTAGAAGTATGTAGGAATATATGGAGTGGTTGTGATTAGTAGAGAAGGTAAAGTAATAGTGATTGATGTGGCAAGGATGGGGGGTATGGAGAGGGATAACATACTGACTGAATGGGTAGTCAGATGTTTTAGGCGGGGGAAGGCGAGTGGCTCCTCTCCTCCCGAGGGAAGGATTTTTCTGAGCCCTTGGCTCTGATTCACACACCTAAACGCTGATGAAATAGAGCAAGACAGACGTGATTGGTTCACAAGCTACTTCCAGGAGTTCTCAGGCAGATTATGTGACAAGCACACCCCACCTCCTCCCTCTGCTCCTCCCCCTGCTCCTCCACCTCAACTCTTGACCCGTTAACTCATGGAGAATCCCGGATGTATCCGAGACACTGAACTGTTTTCATACTTGCCTTGTTGTTTTCTAAATCTAAGTGTCTCTCTGTCTCTCCCTGGTGTTTGTTTGTGTGAACTACAGGAACCTGCCCCTGGCCATCGCCATCTCCATGCCCATCGTCACGGTGATCTATATTCTGACCAACGTTGCCTACTACACTGTGCTGCCCATTCCTGCCATCCTGGACAGTGACGCTGTGGCTGTGGTAAGTTCACTTCTGATAGAAATATGATTCCCTATCCTGATCTACATGACAGCATAAAGTCTGTTCTATACTGTATGTCAGATGTATACAATTCTATCTGCAGCATCATCCCATTGAATAAGCCCTAAATTACTTTGTCATAGGATGTACTGTAAGTGTTTTGAATTGGTCTAATATAAGATCTGTTTTTATTCCCCCAGACGTTTGCAGACCAGGTGTTTGGAGTGATGAACTGGACCATCCCTCTGGCGGTGGCTCTCTCCTGCTTCGGAGGACTCAACGCTTCTATCCTGGCTGCCTCCAGGTGAATTAGAATGACATTACTGATACTACTCTTAACTGTCATTATCCCCTCCATCATCCTTACTGTTATCACTGATCCTCTCCTCCTTATTGACCAACACACGATAACCCTGCGTGTGTAGCTGGTGCAGTGAGGTGGGTGTGACAAGTGTGTGGGTGTTCCTGCAGGCTGTTCTTCGTGGGCTCCAGGGAGGGCCATCTCCCAGACTACCTCTGCATGATCCACGTCACCCGCTACACCCCCATCCCCGCACTGCTCTTCAACGTCAGTCATCCCGCAAAACCACTGTCTCTCTCTGTGTGGGTGGGGGTGTGGGTGTCTGTCTGTGTTGAACAATGTACATTTCCATTGTCTTATGAGTCGTTTTCATTGTTCAGTTTTGTATTTGTCCGAGTTCTGTGTCAACGTTCTGTTTCTGCGTCTACCAAACATTCGGACCCCATTGTTATGTCTGCCTCAGGGTTCCGTCTGTCCCAGAAATGTGTCTGCCTGTCTCAGCATTCCTTTATTTTAACCCAGTGTTCTGTCTGCCTTACAGTTCCGTCTGTCTGCCTTCTCAGCATACTTTTTGTCTGTTTATCCCTGTAGTGTTTTCTCTCCCTCTTTCTACAGTTTCTATGAAATATAGAGTTTCTATCAGCATGTACAGTATATTGACATAGTGCTGTTGCTCCATATTAAAGGGTGCCATGGCTCTAGTCTACCTGTGTGTGGAGGACATCTTTAAACTGATCAACTACTACAGCTTCAGTTACTGGTTCTTTGTGGGCCTGTCTATCCTGGGACAGCTGTACCTGCGCTGGAAACAGCCAGACAGAGTCAGACCCCTCAAGGTAACACAATCGTCCACATCTTTAACACCAATAGACTCAACACAAAACACTGTAGCCTATAGACACATTCAAAATGCAAACTTCCCATTGGTGTTGTAATGTCTGAAACGTTCATACTGAAACTCACAATACAGTTTTGAATGTAGGATTTCTTTCACTGTTTGACGTCAATACCGTTTGATAGTTGTGACATAACTCTTCTTCTCTCCCTCTCTCTCCGTCTTTCCCTCTCTCAGCTCAGTCTGTTCTTCCCGATCATCTTCTGTTTCTGCACTGTGTTCCTAGTGGTGGTTCCCATCTACAGTGACACTATCAACTCTCTGATTGGCATCGGTATCGCCCTATCAGGGGTCCCCGTCTACTTCCTGTGTATCTACACTCCCGCTACCAAAAGGCCCATGTGGCTCCGCAGGTTCTTTGGTAAGAATCAGATTGTTTGAGTTTAGGATAGGGTTGCAAAAATCTGGTGACTTTCCCCAAATTCCCAGGGTTTCTGGAAAATCCTGGGGAATCTACCAAACCAGGATTTCTGGAAAACCTGGGAACTTTGGGGAAATTACTGGAATTTTACGACCCTAGTTTGGCATGACATGAGTTGCGAGTAGGTAGGTATATTATTTTGTACGCCTAGAAAAAATAATCTACATTCTTCAACCAAACTGCACTTCTCATGCTATTGCTAGTGTCAGTACATTAATGATAGTATTTAATGGGTAGATCTCTCATCCTCTCTCTCTCTTTCCCTCTAGCCAACTTTGGTCTGTTGATTCAGAAGGTGTGCTATTCTGTTGTGACTGAGTTGGATGTCATAGAAAAGTTGGAGTGAAGGACGCACAAAACACCTCCTGGCCATTATCTCCCTCAGCCACAGGCTGCAAATCAGATGGCTGATTCAAACGGCAGCCATTCATTGGATCATATCTCTGGCCAACCAATCATCACCATGATGTGTTAATGTTCATTGGACGATGGGGTCGTTCTACGGCCAGGGTGACACTCCAGTTGCCTCTGACATCACAGAGGACGTTCCACATACACACACTCCAGAAGAATCAATACTAAACCATTCCTGTGCCTTAATGTTTTACTCAAATACTGATATTTATGATCTTTCCATGTAGGCGGCGTTTGCACAGGCAGCCCAATTCTGATCTTTTTCCACTAATTGGTCTTTTGACCAATCAGATCAGCTCTTTTGCCGTTAATTGGGCAAAATATCAGAATGAGGCTGCCTTTGTAAACACAGCCAGATAGAGGCATAAGTCTACTGATACCTGTGAAGTGGCATAAATAAAATGTCATTATTGAATAACAAAAAAATAGATACTGAAGACACGTAGGAAAGAAATATAATTACTGAGGGTTAATTTGTTGTATGTGGGTAGGTAGGAGATAATCATTGAAACAGAGCACTGCTGACAATAAAGGTTGTCTTCACCTGTAGTGAAGACTATTAGGGACAGTAGAATGTAGAATACAGGTAGCACTAGCCACTATTTTTTTGTATCCTATGTAAATGTCTGTTCCACCTGAAGCTTTTAAGATCTTTGTGAAGCAAAGGAGGAGGGGGTTGGTTGAGTCGATGAATAGTAGTTGACTGTATTTATAATAAATTACTTATAGAAATTTTAAATGACTGACATTTTTTCATCTAAATTCCCACCATGGATGAGTAGAACACAGACGGTAGTTGTAACCAGAGCCATATATAGAAATCGGCCAGGTTTTAGAATGGCTGCCTTTATTTTGTAAATGTTTTTTATGTAACAATGAGACCGCCGACGACAATTCCCTATCCAAGTCTGTGTACTGTGTTGTGGTGTCAACAAATTCCATATCTGCTTTAACGTCTTAGGTTTTGAAAACTATCAGAAATAAACCGCACAACGGGGAAGGGTCAATTTTTATATATATATATATATATATATATATAACTCTGGTTGTAACAATTCCATTGCAGTCATTCCAATGGATATAATCAACAATACGATTTCATGTTTTCAAATCAGAATTCAGGTTGTCATAATGTACACAGACGTTATAAGGCAACAGAAGTTTGCTCTTTATTTAGAATACATTTATAACGACATACCCTCTGCGCCCATGTCCTGTCTACCAATCCCTCTCTCAATAAATATGCACACATAATTCATTGGCCCTTCAAACTGTCCATCACGCTTCTTCAACCAATAGTCTCCTCCCATGGCCTCTTCTTACCATCGGTTGCTGGGGATGCTTGTTTTGCTTTGGCTGACTTGGTTGCTGTTGCTGTAATGGATGGTGTCGACTGTTGTAGAGGGTTGTGAGTGAAGGTCTGCCTCAATGGACCTAGTTGAAGAGGAAAGATATTAGGCAAAATGAAAAGAAATCCACTAAAGTATTCACAGACAAACAGAAGCATATTTCTAGATTTATCAAAGAGGATGTTAAAACATTCCATTTAGGAATAAAGTCAAATACAGTAAATGTAAAAAATGATATAGATTCTAAGAAAGGGGTTGTGGTGGGGTAAAAAAGGCACCAGTGTCCCTTACCTTTTGATGCAATATCCAGGTGGTTCTTGATCCTTCTTTCTCTCTCCTCCAACTGCTGGGCAAGCTGAGCGTTCTTCCAGCCTATAGGAGGGACAGATAACCATGTTTTAAAAGGGGGAAAGAGGAGAATGTGTGTCAGAGTGAGAGTGAAAATAAATGAAAGAGAGAAAAATAAAGAGAGAGAGGCAGAGAAAGATTTCCACAGGTGACTCCATGACACATCCCCACCAGTCCTACCACACCCACCCTTCTTGATGGTCTTGATAAAGCCGTCGTTCTGGGGCAGGGAGGAGGCCGGGTGTTCGATCCTCTCTGGGATCCTCAGCTTCTGTCTGACCAGGGGGTGTTTGAGCAGGGCCACCTGGGCCAGGGAGAAGCAGTTGGACGTCATCCAGTACGTAAACACTGCCTGGGGGCGGGGGGGACAGAGAGAAGAGGAACATATATGTCAATCAATCAAATCAATGACATTTCTACATATGCATTTGTCACAAAGTGCTTTTATAGTAATCCCCCGGCCTAGACCGGGGAAGAGCGAGAGGAGAGAGAAAGAGTACAAGCCTTCACAGGTCCAAAATGACCCGTTCTGAAATAGACCTGGGGCTTTTCCACCCAGACCCGGTATGCATAAATTATTCAGAACAGACCAAAGGACAACTACACCCGTTCTGTATAGACCTGGTTGGATCCAGACCCGGTAGCAGCAGAAAAGGCTATATCTAAGCTACTTTATTAACTGGAGCTGATAAAGTGTAAGGGAGAGGAGGTAGAGAGAGGTGCCGCTCTGGCAGGGGCCGTGCTTCGTGTGTTTGTAGGCTACTGTGAGTGAGCGAGTAACATGGGGAACCGGGAGGAGGGAGGGAGAGACAGCAACCAAGCCAACTCGCGCTATAGTAGACTAATAGCTACCATAGCTAGGTTATTTATCATCAAATATAATTACGTAGTACCTGTCTTGACTGCATCAAACCGGGAAAAGCTAGTTAAGCTAGCTAGCTAGGCTAATGGAGGCTGCATGCGCCTTCTCGTCCTACACAGTTACAAACAACAACTCTTCCATTCAGAATATTAAGTAGCAGCCTACCTGTTGTCTCTTGGTCGTTGTAGCCTATCCTTCTCCTTTAACTTTTAATTCCGTCATTTTAATTCCATCTTCCATTGATTAGATATCTCCTAACCTTTGCCCCACATGGAGGCTCTATGACTGTAGCCTATTACCACTTTGATGACTTCTGATTGGCCAACAACAAGCTACACACGCCACTCTCCTGAAAAGCAAGAGCAGCAGCATAAATCTCTCTCTCTCTTTCTCTCACTGACTCTCTCGGATCTGTACGGGTCCTTCCGGACACGTCAGTTAAAATTACCCGAGACCTATGACAATCATATCGGATCCGACATTATTTACAATATTGGATACGGACCCTCTCGGGTATTTGGGTACAGGTGGATCCGTGAACACCACTAAGAGAGAGTAGTAAGACAGAGTGAGAGATCGAGAGAAAGAAAGGGAGATGGGGAGAGAAATTGAGAGACTGACCGTGGGGAAGTTAATGGTGAGAGGCAGGATGACGAAGGGCATGATTCTGAACACTGTCTTCATGGCTTTCAGGTTAGGGTTGTCCACACCTGACTCTGCCCCCAACTGAGGAGAAGACAGGCAAACAGACAACGTGTAGGTGTTATTTAGGCTCAATACTGTTATTCCAATGTAATCAGTGACAACATTATTCAAATTCTCGCATGATTCAATAAAACATTATTTAAAAAAATGGTCATCATTGTCCATTTGACAGCTGATTTTTCAGGGTCAATACAGCTGGCCTCTAAAATCATCAACTGACTACTAGCAAAGACTTCAGCTTTCCTAGTAGACGAAGCAACACCATTATCCTACCTCCAGTATAGCAAACATGGTCCCGGTCACAGCAATGGGGAGGATGTAGAAAGGGTCTGCTGCTGTGAGGTCTAAGAACCACAAGCAACCCCCTGTCTGCATACTGGGGACAGGGAGGTAGGACATCTTTCTGAGAGCGATGAAGAAGGAGATGAAGACTGGAGTCTGGAACGGAGGAGAGGGAGATAGAGAGGGGGGTAGAGACAGAGAGAGGTATGATTCCTATCACGCCATGAAGACGCGCATAAAACAGAGGAGATACTACAGATGGATTTTTTTTAAACATCAATGTATTGATTGTTTCAGTAGAACATACTAGTGTTATGGATTTAAACTGACTAAACCAGAGAGAGCGAGAGAGAGAGAGAGAGAGCTGTAACTTACCTGCACCAGAGGGACCAGGAAGCCACGGAGGGGGTTGACGTCATGTTTCTTCTGGAACATGGTCAGGTCAGAGTACGCCTTAGCAACTAGGAGACACACAGACATATTACCTTGAAACTGAGGGAGACGTCACACACTAAACCTGATATTGAGTTGCAATATGACATGAAAGGAGGAGTTACATAGTGGATAAACACAATGAGTTGAGGAAAGAAAGAGAGAAGACTAACAGTCAAACTTGTTTCCGCTCTGTTTGGCCTCGTTCATCTTGTTGGTGAGTTTAGTCATCTCTGGCATAACGTTGTTCAGCTTAGCTGCCTCCCTCTGACCCTTCACAATGACCGGGAACACCATGATGCGAGCCAGCACTGTGCCTGGGGTGTGGGTGTGTGTGTTTTAGTGTGTTTGTAGGAGAGAAAGAAAAATTGACATAAGAAAACTCTGAATATATACCAAAAGCCTCTTACAACCAAATATCTCTCTGTGAATAGCGGACTGAAGTCTAGTGACTTTTAATAAGCTAGACATGTTGAGGCAAAGCACAGTGGGAGTTCTGAGGATGAGGGTGCCTCACCTACAACAATGGCTCCCCACCACGGCATCCCAATGTCCACATGCATGAACTCCAGTAGGTTCTGGACCAGGCCAACAGGAGTGGCGCTCCCAAGGCCCAGCTCTGATAGGCTCAGCTCTGCTCCCGCCCCCTGCAGAACATCCACTGCGGTTGGTGCAGCCTCTAACACCTGGTCGGCGATTGGCTGCGTGATTATAGGCGCGGGGTCAACGACGACAGGGCTGGCAATGGATGCTTCCAGCACTGGAGTTGCCGTAGGAATACTTTCACTTGTGATCTGAAAATATAACATAGCTTTTATTTTATATGGTGGTAATCATCTCTTTCACACATCAGGTAGAAGGATTTCCAAAAGGACAGAACAAACTATTATCCCAGAGGAAGTGTCTTGGATTTTGACCAAATGCATAAACTCTCCAGGCAATTTATCAAGGTGTAACAACCAGAGCATCCTCTGGTGTAATGTTCTAAAATACTTCACTGGTGTTGTTCCTGCCTGACTACATTGCAGACGCCTGCCAGATCTCACAACGCTTGAATAGGTGTTTAAACTCTCAGCTTTCCACATCATATGATATAGCAACGTGATGCCCGACTGCAGTCAATGACGTTGCACACAACCATTTGTTGATGTAAAGCAACGTCTGTAATGTAGTCAGGCAGGAACGCCACCACTGTATGTGCACGGCGCTTGTAACGCCAAGGTAGTGGGTTCGATCCCCGGGACCACCCATACACAAAAATGTATGCACGCATGACTGTAAGTCGCTTTGGATAAAAGCGTCTGCTAAATGGCATGTTATTTTATTATATTATTGTAGATTGACACTGACTCACCTGTGAGCTGTTGTGCCTGACGGACACCGCACTGACCAATAATAACCTTCCATTGTGGCGTCGACCGAGAACAGCTCTAGTTGTAGGACTCCTGCATTCTACTACTGTGTGAAGATGGGATCTCTGTAGAAACCTCTGTTTAGAAGGGGGGCACAATAACATGAATGGCCTACAATGAACTACAGTACATTAACAACAACTGCATGTTACAATCCTCAGATGAAGATACACTACTACTTTCTGGTACACTTTACTGTGTGGCTTATTGCAGGATAGGTTGTCTTTGACAATGCAGCAGCAATTGCACCAGAGTCAATAGACTTACATATTTCTAGCCAAGAAAGCTGTATTGTGGTTTGTAACACAAATCTCAAGAAATATGTTGACTTGGTGGCTGATGAAGGCTCATACACAACGTTATTGCTTGCTTGTCATTAACATGTTTACATATCATTGGTAGGTGTTATCAAGGCTGTATCGTTCGTAGACAGCTAGCTAGTTACTGGCTGAAATGGGAATGCTAACGTTGCTACCAGATAACTAGCTAGCATGTCATAATTGACTGTCTGGACATGTCAAATTGTGTATGTTAGACAGGTGACCCGAACAGCTATCAACAATTTTGTATGCATACATGCGAACAACCTTTTATCCTGATTCTTGTGTGAAGCATGTAGCTAGATTTTGATACGAATGCTAATTCACTTGCTAACTAGCTAACGTTAGCTGGACATTTTCAAAGTCACAGGCATGCGCTTGGCGTGCTGTTTAGAATCACTGTTACTGCTTGCTGCCAGACAAACACACGAATTCAAGAGCACAAGTCAAACCTGGTTCCATCTCTCTGTAAATGAAGGGTTGCCTGCACTTGGTATTCCACTTGGTCTTAAAAAACATCTCGTTAGACAACCCGGAGTCACCCCACTCCTGATCGCAGCCATGTTGGAATTGGTAGTGGGGAATTTTTTTTGTTGGTACTTCTTCTTCGTCTTCTTCTTCTTCTTCTTCTTCTTCTTCTTCTTCTTCAATGAGGTTTAACGGCGGTTGGCATCCACTTTGTTGCATTACCGCCACCTACTAGACTGGAGTACAACTCCCTTATATTTTGCTTGAAAAATAAAATAAAGAAATACCCTACCATCTAACACTACACTCACAAATTCAAAAATATTCTCCACTATTTAAATATATTCATTCTTACCTCATGCCCTCAACCTGAAATGATGGGACATCACCACTTAACACTCCCTGTAACTCTTCTGATGTCAAGTCTCGCACACCCAAATACCTCTCTGCAGCTGCCACCACAACCTTAATTTTCTTCGACTTAGGTTCCATCCCTACAGTACAATTAATAACCATTGCTATAAACGCTAAAAATCCAATCTTACTGAAACATATATCACTTGTTGGCCTATCCCTCTGTACTGGTACATCTCTACTACTCTCACCACTCCCCCCCTCTTCCTCTACTTTCTTCACTGCCTCAGCATATGACAACTTCTTCACTGCTCTTACCCTGGAAACCTCAACCTGCTTCTCTCCCACGGGACATTTCTGATCTCCAGCCCCATGGCCACCCCTACAATTAGCACATACCACTACTTTCCCCAATGCTACACATTCCTTTGTCTCATGCCCTTCTGCACACAAATGTTGGTACGGAAAGCGTAAATGGTCTTACCAAGTTCGTATTATCCGAAAACGCATTTTAATATAAATTGAAACTAGCTAGTAGGCCTATATTTTATTGACACAAAACCCATGTAGGCCGATATGGATTGTACTGTTAAAGGGGCAATCCGCAGTTGCTACATCTATTTTTCGATTTATACATGAATGATATGTAGCCATTGATTCTTGAGAATATAACTTATAAATGCCTCATGAGTTTATTTCAACTGTTGTAGCCCATCAGAAACCAAGAGGCTACATTACTTTGTTTTCTCTCTTCATCTGTCCAAAAAAAACTATTGTCAAGACTGTTTTTAATCTGTAACTTTCCTTTGTTGTATAAGGTTATGATGGACGTCATTTCATTGTTATAAACTATCTATGACCCCTACTTATTAACCCTTATAAAGGGTAGTGTTACCAATAAAGGACCAGGGAAGATAACCAGATGACATTATTTACTACCTTGACGTTTTGTTCCAAGCATAACCTGGAATCCACACTGAGGTGAAGTAATGGTGAAATTGAAAGATATTCAGTGTGGCCAGATTCCAGGCTACAGAGATAGACTAGTTAGTATACTGTACTACTAGTGTTGGGAATTTTCTTATTCAGGTGTGAAGTGTAGAATCAGAGATGAAATCAGACAATGATGTATAGACAGAAGGAAAGGTTTAATGTGGAAGCATACACCATGTTTGAAGACAGCAGAGTTGACATCAACTTTTATTCCTTCACAGTGCAGTCAGTAAAATCAGCAATGTGGTCATGGTAGCAATTTAAGATAGTGATGTGTGTTATTCAAGGCTAAGGAACATTCCAGACTCTCAAAAATAGATGACAGAGCTCAGAAACAAGACTAATGTAATTACTGTTACTTAATCGATACTCAAGGTTACAGAATCACCCATTGTCAAATGTTCCTCAGCTTTGTTTGCAGTGCCTTGAAAGTGGGCCTGCTGTATTTATCATCCTCCCAGCAGTCCAACATGATCATGTGCATGCCCCTGGGACAGCCTCTGGGGCAAGGCATCTTGTACCCATTGGGAACCTTCTGTTTCACCTCGGAGTTGTTCATGTCTGAAACAATAATATAACCTGGTTAAAGTGTAATGCAACTGATCTCACACAGTAAAACAATCAAACCAGGGACATGTGGTGTGACATAAAAAGAATAGATAAACAGTAGATAGAAACGTGTCTTTTTAACTGAGGGCATGTTAAACACAAAATCATAATCCTAACTCGCTTCCGCAGATACACTGAGTATACAAAACATTAAGAACACCTGAGCAGGTGAATCCAGGTGAAAGCTATGATCCCTTATTGATGTCATTTGTTAAATTTTACATTTTTACATTTTAGTCATTTAGCAGACGCTCTTATCCAGAGCGACTTACAGTTAGTGAGTGCATACATTTTTCATACTTCTATCAGCATAGATGTAAATAAGGCCGTCCTGCTCCTATCCTCTCTACCTAACTTCCCCTCACAGTCCCTTCAGTTTCCCTTAAGTCCCGTTAGTTTGGCTGCTCAGCCTACCTAAGTTATCCCTCACCCATCATAGCCCTGCCATTCCCAACCAATCAGAGTGCTTGGAAATGCGCATCTGGACACTACACCCGCCCACTCAGATCAGAGTTTTATCGTCGTCCGAAGGGAGAAGGACTTTTTATTGTCGACAGTAACACAAATGTCTGAATGTTGTGCGTGCATTGAAATATACGTTGCAGGGGGGTTTATTGGGGTTTTTACATTCTGTGTAATAATAGGTAATTACCACTAATTACTTCCTGTTACTTAGATAGCTTTCAGACATATGTTCTACTGTATGGCTGTTACTATTCTGTAATGTTAGAGTTGCCAATACTGCTTTGTCTATTGTTTATCGTATGTAGTATTATTCCGTACTGCCAGAAGTGTTATTGCATTGGTTGCACAAGTACTTTCGCAGAAGTAGTTTAATTGTTGTATTGGTAAACATAGTATTTTGCATGCACACGCTACCACAGCGTTTTTCCATAGTGGCCTTTATTAAGCTGTTTTATTGCGCTGCCATGGGCGAGCTTCTAGAATCATCCCAGACAGTTCTTGGAGCATGCTCATGCGCAGAGTAATTTATGACCCTGTGGCGCCAGCGCAGGTCTCAGCCTGGCAGATTCTCACACAAGGATGGAGAGAGAGGGTGCCTTAAATCTTGACCCTTTGTCAATCCAAGTAATTAGTTTCTCTCTCTCTCCAAGAGGTGAATGTTTAAGTTTATGTTTACATTGAGGCTGTGTTTATAGCCCTTTATAGACATGTTGTAAGTGTAATGCCATTTCCAATTTATTCATGTACATATATGTATATTGCATAGTTCTAACCCTTAAGTAATACTGTTTACATGTGTTCATATCTTTGTCTTATAGAACCAAAACAACAAGATTCCAAGTCATTCGGATTACAACGATCATATAAACATCTTCAAATGGAAACAGGTATGTCTGCGTGTGTGTGAGTGTGGTTGTGACCAAGTGTTCAGTATGGGCCTCAACATCATGTTCTGACTGGACAGCACTATAGTGGGCAGAACCAAACCAATCAGTTATAAGTACATAGCGGGTGAGGGCATTCACAGCTGACCACTCAGATGGGTGAGGGCATACCAGCCAACCATTTTTACGTGGTCCTTTTAGACGGATTTAGTGACCAACAGTTTTTTTTTACATGGTCCGTAATTTCTCCGGATTTAACAACCAATAGGTGTTCCTTATGTGTTGTATACTCAGTGTATACTCTTAACTAGAGATGTGGAGTTAAAATAGTAAATATGAAAGTCTTACTTGGATAGGGAATCCCCCCAAAGGTCATGATCTCATACAGCAAGATTCCGAAGGACCACACGTCACCCTTGATGGTAAACCTTTCGTTGGCAATGGCCTCAGGAGCCGTCCATCTCAAAGGGAATACTGCATACCCTACAGGTATATAATACACGCCGGTCTGCATTGGTGTGGCTTTTAAGACCCTGGCAAGGCCAAAGTCAGCCACCTTGTAGACGTTGTTCTCGCCGACCAGCACATTCCTGGCTGCCAAGTCCCTGTGGAGGTAGTTCTTCATCTCCAGATAAGCCATCCCAGAAGCCACTTGAGCTGCCATCTCAATCTGGTCATTTAAGCGTAGCCTTCCAACCCGGTCCTCTGTGGAACAGGGAAGGAAAGTACAATGATGAGAAAAAGACAGATAATTGAATGACATGATGGGTATCATTTTCACACTCTAATTTTGAAAGGAACTAGTGGAATTATGAAAGCTCATATTTTAACTGTTGGTACACAACATTTTTTGAAAAGTTATACACTTGTTGAACATATAGTTTGTGTACCATAATTGAGAGAGGTTTTAAGTAACACCAGGAGTTTTACTGGCCATGTGACCTGATAACTATAACATAGCATCCAGGACATATATACTAGGAGGTGTCAGAGGAAGGCAAGATGGTCAAAGACTCCAGTCACCCAAGTCATAGACTGTTCTCTCTGCTACTGCAAGGCAAGCGGTACTGGAGTTCCAAGTCTAGGTCCAAAAGGCTCCTTAACAGCTTCTACCCCCAAGTCATAAGACTGCTGAACAATTAATCAAATGGCCACCCGGACTATTTACATTGACACCCCTCCCCCCCTTTGTTTTTACACTGCTGCTACTCACTGTTTATTATCTATGCATAGTCACTTTACCCCTACCTACATGTACAAATTACCGCGACTAACCTGTACCCCCGCACATTGACTCTTGTACTGGTACCCACTGTATCTAGCCTCGTTATTGTTATTTTATTGTGTTACTTCTTATTTTATTTTTTACTTTAGTTTATTTAGTCAATCTTTTCTTAACTCTATTTCTTGAACTGCATTGTTGGTTAAGGGCTTGTAAGTAAGCATTTCACTGTAAATAAAAATTGATTTGATAGAAAGTTAAAGACCACAGCCCTTACATTTTTCTGATGGGATAATATGTCATATAATTAGGAAAAACTCCTGGGCGTGTACCGCAGGGCTTGGCTGCTTCATACGGCAGTGTACTCTTACTCAGGTAATCCAGCAGATTTCCGTTCTTCATTAGCTCAGTGATGATGTAGATGGGTTCCTCCTTAGTGCAGACAGCCAAGAGCTGGACAAGGTTTGGATGCTGCATGGTCTTCATGATCTGGGCCTCTTTTAGGAAGTCCCGAGGGTCCATGGCGCCTAGGAGAGGAAATTAGGAAAAGAAGATTGTTTATTTTTCATCCAACACTGGCTGGATTTTTTTTTAAGGAACTCAGTCGGGCTTTAAACTTACTCTTGAAAGTTGTAATAGTAGAATACACAAGGTGCAATTTCGAAATTGGGTAGTGTATCAGCAGTTTTCCTCGTCAGTCATTGCAGACCTTCGAGAGCCATTTACTGTATAACTTGTCAGAAATGTCCAGATCAACTAGCCCATGTCAGCTAACCTTTTTTAGCCCATTTTGTTGTCATGTTTGAGTCACTCAGATATCACATGAACACACATAAGACATGGCAAAATGTGTAGAATTGCAGGAAATTTGCTTTAAACCTGCACATTTTATTTTATCTCTGCCAACAAGAGGGGAGTGAACAGTTTTTTGTCATCATGGACATAGAAATAGATGTTCCCCAGTGATGAAAGGGGGGCCTGAGTGAAACTGTTTGGGAACCATCGCTGTAGGTATTACATTAGACTAACCAGCCATCTCAAAATTGCGGTAATCATGGCCGGATTACGCATGGGCCCCCCATTGACTAATGTTCGCGTCATTCAGATAGAAAATTGACGTTGCCTAAGTGATGGCAAAATCTGTGTACAGCTGCATGTCTTCAAAAATAAAAAATGCAATACAGCCTTGCCAGCTTAATGTACAGTAGATTTAGAGAGTATTACTGATCAATATTTGTGTCCTCTGTCCTTTGTTGCTCCTCTTTATTATTCCAGGGAGGGAGGACCGACGACACAACAGTGGACCCATTAGACCAACTCCTTGAATTTGTCAGTTATGTCTAAAAAAACACTATTTCGCTCAAAACATATTTTTTTTTTACCCTTAAGTGTGTGTACATTACTGTATTTATACTTGGGATATTGCTTTTTTAATAATATTAATAATTTAATATGCCATTTAGCAGACGCTTTTATCCAAAGCGACTTACAGTCATGCGTGCATATATTTTTGTGTATGGGTGGTCCCGGGGATCGAACCCACTACCTTGGCATTACAAGCGCCGTGCTCTACCAGCTGAGCTGCAGAGGACCACAGGAAAAGTTCAAAAATAGTTTTTTTGAATAACTTGGCCCAGGTGTTTACCACGTATAAGGGTCTTCACTGCAACCAGAGTGTTGTTATAAAGGCCTTGATAGACCTCTCCAAAGGAACCTTTGCCCAGACTCTTTCCCAGTTTTACAGAGCTGTGGTTAGCCTCCCAGGGGTCCGCAGAGCCAGTAGACCTAAACTGTGAAGGGAGACAAGAGAGACATGCAAGATCCGACAGAATCTCAGCAGATCAGATCCCATTTTGAGTCACCTAACATACCTTACAACTGTAACCTGTCCTCTGTAGGTTCCTTCGGTAAACCAACCTCATTTTTAAAAGGCCCATGTAGTGAAATATAAACTTCTCAAGCTTCTCAAATCATAGTTTCAGTGGAAATATGTTTAATTTGGGTTTAAGTTCAACATCAAGGCTGCTTCCCAAAAAAAGAAAAGAAAACATGCCAACATGCCAACATGGCATGTTCTTGAACAGATTTTTTACAGAATAAGGAAATTAAACTAGCTGGCGAGCGCCCTTACGGGTCCAAGCACTGTAGGTGTGTTTGAAACACCATTGTTTTTGGTATAGTAATTTTTCCCTGTCTGTTGACCACAATAACTTTTCTGAGGAATCATCTACAGTAAGAAAGTAATTATTCCCTCCATATGAACATTGCACAGATACATGTCATAGGATCAAGGCTAGAAGGGATACAGCTTTTGTCAAATTAATGTCAAAAGTTGATTTTTTGGTGTGCATTTTAGCTAACCCTAACCGTAACCTAATTCTCCTAACCTGCTACGTTAATTCTTACCTGCTGCGTAAATTCTCCTAAAAGTCAAATCTGATGTTAATTTGACAAAAGCTGGATCCATTCTAGCCATGATCATTTCATAGATTGACAGGAGACACGGGAAGTGTAGCTAATGAAGGGGGCAGAGTGGCCCACATTCTGCGAGTATGGAGGCCAGAGATAGCCAGACTAATAAATCGGGCTAAGGAACAGAAGTTTGGGTATTGGAGAAAGACCATCAGTAGGCATTCTGTAAGCAATATACAGTGGATGAAGGCGCGGCATGAGTGTTGTGAACGGATAGACGTGGTAATGGACAGCGAGGAAGAAGGAAGAAGAGCCGAGTGCAGAGGGAAGATGTGTGCTGAGGAATAATGGCGGCAAGTACAAACCGTACTCTGCTGTCTCTGATGGCTTAGAAATTGAACCTGACGAGAGTGACGATGAATTACCTGCGGTGGCAGGTGTGATGAAGAACTCTGAGTCCGAGCCTCGCCCCGATGGTCATGCAAAGGATGATTCTGTTCCAGTGGGAGTGACATTTTTGGAGAAAGTGGATCCCTGCCTCTGTGGAGATGGGAGAACCTTTCAGAAGGACAACCATCTCTGCAGCACTCCACCAATCAGGCCTTTCTGGTAGAGTGGCCAGATGGAAGCCAATCCTCAGTAAAAGGCACGACAGCCCGCTTGGAGTTTGCTAAAAGGCACCTAAAGGACTCTCAGACCATGAGAAACAAGATTCTCTGGTCTGATGAAACCAATATCTAACTCTTTGGCCTGAATGCCAAGCATCACATCTGGAGGAAACCTGGAACCATCCCTACGGTGAAGCATGGTGGTAGCATCATCATGCTGTGGGGATGTTTTTCAGCGGCAGGGACTGGGAGACTAGTCAGGTTTGAGGGAAAGATGAACGGAACAAAGTACAGAGAAATCATTGATGAAAACCTGCTCCAGAGCGCTCAGAATCTCCGACTGGGGCGAAGGTTCACCTTCCAACAGGACAACGACCCTAAGCACACAGCCAAGACAACACAGCAGTGGCTTCGGGACAAGTCTCTGAATGTCATTGAGTGGCCCAGTCAGAGCCCAGACTTGAACCCCATCGAACATGTCTGGAGACCTGCAAATAGCTGTGCAGCGACGCTCCCCATCCAACCTGACAGAGCTTGAGACGATCTGCTGAGAAGAATGGGAGAAACTCCCCAAACACAGGTGTGCCAAGCTTGTAGCGTCATACCCAAGAAGACTCGAGGCTGTAATCGCTGCCAAAGGTGCTCCAACAAAGTACTGAGTAAAGGGTCTGAATACTTGTGATATTTCCATTTTTCATTTTGAATACATTATCAAAAATTTCTCAAAACCTGTTTTTGCTTTGTCATTATGGGTTATTGTGTGTAGATTGATGAGGAAAAAACGTAACAAAATGTAGAAAACATCAAGGGGTCTGAATACTTTCTGAATGCACTAATCTAGTGCATCGGTCCTACTAAGCTGCACTACATGGTCAAAAGTATATGGACACCCTTTCAAATTAGTGGATTCGGCTACTTCAGCCACACCCATTGCTGACAGGTGTATAGAATCGACATTGGTAGTAGAATGGCCTTACTGAAGAGCTCAGTGACTTTCAACGTGGCACCGTCATAGGATGCCACCTTTCCAACAAGTCAGTTCGTGAAATTTCTGCCCCACTAGAAGCTGCCCCGGTCAACTGCTGTTATTGTGAAGTGGAAACGTCTAGGAGCAACAACGGCTCAGCCGTGAAATGGTAGGCCACACAAGCTCACAGAATGGGACCGCCGAGTGCTGAAGCACGTAGCACGTAAACATCGTCTGTCCTCGGTTGCAACACTCACTACCGAGTTCCAAACTGCCTCTGGAAGCAACGTCAGCACAAGAACTGTTAGTCAGGAGCTTCATTAAATGGGTTTCCATGGCCGAGCAGCCGCACACAAGCCTAAGATCATCATGCGCAATGCCAAGCGTCACCTGGAGTGGTGTAAAGCTCACCGCCATTGGACTCTGGAGCAGTGGAAACGCGTTCTCTGGAGTGATTAATCATGCGTCACCATCTGGTAGTCTGATGGACGAATCTGGGTTAGGGATGCCATGAGAATGCTACCTGCCCCAATGCATAGTGCCAACTGTAAAGTTTGGTGGAGTAGGGATAATGGTCTGGGACTGTTTTTCATGGTTCTTGAATTGGAACGCAGACTGCGAGCCAGGCCTAATTGCCCAACATCAGTGCCCAACCTCACTAATGCTCTTGTGGCTGAATGGAAGCAAGTCCCCTCAAAGGGGGGACCAACTCCATATTAATGACCATGACTTTGGAATGAGATGTTTGGCCATGTAGTGTATATGGAATTGTTTTAAGAAGGACATACCAAGGATCATTTAGCTATTTGATTTAGAATTTTAAGACCACTTGAAGTATAAAAAAATATATATAAAAGATTTGATGACGTTTTTTATTTCCTTAGCCTTACTGCTATTAGCCTATTCAAACACATTGAATAACAGATTCACTACATGGAACAACAGATAGTCCCCCCCCCCCAAAATAAAAAAAAAGTTTGTTCTGAAGTGTCTGTCCAATATCTGAGAGATATAAGAAAGATCAGGAAACTTTGTTATATATTTTTACATATAGGCTATTTAACCCCTTATTTTTGGCACTAAACAGTCTCCATGTATACATCCATTCATTTTTTCAACTGGTACTGGGGACCTTCAGAGGAGTCTTGTGAGGCCTGTGGGTATCCTAGAGCAAAACAAGACTCACCTTTCCACAGAGGGGTCATATTAGTGTGTAGCCCAAACCATTGGACGTTACAGACGATTTTGTGAGAAGAGCGGCATGTCTCATGGTCTGACAAACACCGCTCTAGCTCTGTCACCTTTCACCGCAGATGTGGAAGTGCGACATAGGCAGATGAGGTCGATTGAGACGCATCCAATGCAACCCCACCCCCCCAATTATATTTCAGTGGGTTGCGGACATCGAATCTAGGAGTTTTAATGTAAACATAGCTTGTGTTGACAGTCAGTAGCTATGTTTCCATTAACTTGTCCAGTATTTATTTTTGTCGACATTTAGAAACTTTAGAAAATAGATGCGACAATTGCCTGATAGGGTACGTTTCCACTTAACTATCTTGTGTCGATAAAAACAGCTGGGAAGTAAGGTGTCACACCCAAAAATCTAAACTTTTTTGCAAAAACGTAGTGGCAAATAAAAATGTAGTGATTGACGTGTTGCCATTAGCCTACCCATTTAGGCTAATTGCGCATTAATAAATTGGCCACAGTCTGTTTGCACTCAACCTATCAGTTTATGTCTCTGCCCAGCAAAAGCAATGGATAGAATGCAATATTACTATTATTGACCATATATTTCATGTCCTGTATCGCACGGTTCATGCATGGTGCAACTTGCACTCCAGACGGAAAAATTGGATGGTGAAACTGCAGCCAACCAGAAAGCAAGGCAAAGCTTCAGATCCCAAGTCAGGCAATCCTGTCAAGAAAAAATATATAGTTAAAAATAATGATTTGAAGCAGTATGCATTAAAACTAAATGTGGGGGGAGCTTATCTACACAAACGAGCAGGACTTCCCCACGCCACGATAAACAATTATCAGCAATAATTTATTCGAAAAACACTTTCCATCATTTTACCGCAATAAAGTTCAACAAAACAGAAAACAATAGGCTACTTAAAAAAATTGATAAATGTATAATTATTGTGCAATTTACAGTATATATATATATATAACACGGTGTCAAGGCATATGAACTAACAGGTTATAGAGCAAATAACACAATTATCACAACACATAGGTTGTAATATGAAAAAATAAAAATTGCAATCAGATGAATGGCAATTAATTGCAAAGTCCCTCTTTGCCACGAAAATGAACTTAATCCCAAAAAAACATTTCCACTGCATTTCAGCCCTGCCACAAAAGGACCAGCTGACATCATGTCAGTGATTCTCTCATTAACACAGGTGAGAGTGTTGACGAGGACAAGGCTGGAGATCACTCTGTCATGCTGATTGAGTTAGAATAACAGACTGGAAGCTTTAAAAGGAGGGTGGTGCTTGAAATCATTGTTCTTCCTCTGTTAACATTTTACATTTTAGTCATTTAGCAGACGCTCTTATCCAGAGCAACTTACAGTTAGTGAATGCATACATATTTTATTTTTTATTTATTTCATACTGGCCCCCCGTGGGAAACGAACCCACATCCCTGCCGGCCAAACCCTCCCCTACCTTGGACGACGCTGGACCAATTGTGCACCGCCCATGGGTCTCCCGGTTGCGGCCGGCTGCGACAGAGCCTGGACTCGAACCAGGATCTCTAATGGCACAGCTAGCACTACGATGCAGTGCCTTAGACCACTGCGCCATTCGGGAGTCTGCAAGGAAACATGTGCTGTCATCATTGCTTTGCACAAAAAGGGCTTCACAGGCAAGGATATTGCTGCTAGTAAGATTGCACCTAAATCAACCATTTATCGGATCATCAAGAACTTCAAGGAGAGAGGTTCAATTGTTGAGAGGAAGGCTTCAGGGCGCCCAAGAAAATCCAGCAAGCGCCAGGACCGTCTCCTAAAGTTGATTCAGCTGCGGGATCGGGGCACCACCAGTGCAGAGCTTGCTCAGGAATGGCAGCAGGCAGGTGTGAGTGCATCTGCACACACAGTGAGGTGAAGACTTTTGGAGGATGGCCTGGTGTCAAGAAGGGCAGCGAGGAAGCCACTTACTCTCCAGGAAAAACATCAGGGACAGACTGATATTCTGCAAAAGGTACAGGGATTGGACTGCTGAGGACTGGGGTAAAGTCATTTTCTCTGATGAATCCCCTTTCCGATTGTTTGGGGCACCGGAAAAAAGCTTGTCCGGAGAAGACAAGGTGAGCGCTACCATCAGTCCTGTGTCATGCCAACAGTAAAGCATCCTGAGACCATTCATGTGTGGGGTTGCTTCTCAGCCAAGGGAGTGGGCTCACTCACAATTTTGCCTAAGAACACAGCCATGAATAAAGAATGGTACCAACACATCCTCCGAGGGCAACTTCTCCCAACCATCCAAGAACAGTTTGGTGACGAACAACGCATTTCCAGCATGATGGAGCACAAGGCAAAAGTGATAACTAAGTGGCTCGGGGAACAAAACACCGACATTTTGGGTCCATGGCCAGGAAACTCCCCAGACCATAATCCCAATGAGAACTTGTGGTCAATCCTCAAGAGGTGGGTGGACAAACAAAAACCCACATATTCTGACAAACTCCAAGCATTGATTATGCAAGAATGGGCTGCCATCAGTCAGGATTTGGCCCAGAAGTTAATTGACAGCATGCCAGGGCGGATTGCAGAGGTCTTGAAAAAGAAGGGTCAACACTGTAAATATTGACTCTTGCATAAACTTAATGTAATCGTCAATACAAGCCTTTGACACATATGGAATGCTTGTAATTATACTTCAGTATACCATAGTAACATATGACAAAAATATCTAAAAACACTGAAGCAGCAAACTTTGTGAAGACCAATACTTGTGTCATTCTCAACACTTTTGACCACGACTGTACTATCTAATCAAGACATATTAGTGTTTTATTTTTGGTTAATTTTTTTTTAAATGTTAGAATTTTGCTTCCACTTTGACAGAGTATTTTGTGTAGATCGTTGACAAAAAATGAAAATTAAATCCATTTTAATCCCACTTTGTAACATTAAAATGTGAAGAAATCCAAAGGGGGTGTAGACTTTCTATAGCCACTGTAACTTTGTTCATCCTGTTCTCCTTTGTCTACCTTTCTCTCATGTTTGCTCTCTGACTTTTCTTCTTACCAGAAACAGCAGCAGGACCGCCACCAACAACCACAACGACCATGACCAGGGGAAATTCTCCGGACATTGGCATCATTCACTCTTCTCCTCTCTGCCTGGAATTACTGAAGAGATTCCAAACCTGAAGGTTGACAACAGAGAAAAAGCAAAATTATGTATCCGGGCAGCTGATGTAGATCAGTAGCTTAGCTAGAAATCCGTTTGGTGGGCCTGCAGAAATGTGGATGGGCGCCCCTAAAAAATAATAATGTTTTGCTGTTTTAAAGCTATTTTCCTACAATTCTACACATTTTAAAGCTAGGTGTGTTGACTGTGATAAAGGCACTGGATTATAAAATGTCTTGTTTGCTAAATGAACAAATTAATAGGCAGTGGCATGGTGCATATAGCTATAGAAGCACAGTGACATATGCCTCAATGCAGTCATACACTGCTCAAAAAAATAAAGGGAACACTAAAATAACACATCCTAGATCTGAATGAATGAAATAATCTTATTAAATACTTTTTTCTTTACATAGTTGAATGTGCTGACAACAAAATCACACAAAAATTATCAATGGAAATCAAATGTATCAACCCATGGAGGTCTGGATTTGGAGTCACCCTCAAAATTAAAGTGGAAAACCACACTACAAGCTGATCCAACTTTGATGTAATGTCCTTAAAACAAGTCAAAATGAGGCTCAGTAGTGTGTGTGGCCTCCACGTGCCTGTATGACCTCCCTACAACGCCTGGGCATGCTCCTGATGAGGTGGCGGATGGTCTCCTGAGGGATCTCCTCCCAGACCTGGACTAAAGCATCCGCCAACTCCTGGACAGTCTGTGGTGCAACGTGGCGTTGGTGGATGGAGCGAGACATGATGTCCCAGATGTGCTCAATTGGATTCAGGTCTGGGGAACGGGCGGGCCAGTCCATAGCATCAATGCCTTCCTCTTGCAGGAACTGCTGACATACTCCAGCCACATGAGGTCTAGCATTGTCTTGCATTAGGAGGAACCCAGGGCCAACCGCACCAGCATATGGTCTCACAAGGGGTCTGAGGATCTCATCTCGGTACCTAATGGCAGTCAGGCTACCTCTGGTGAGCACATGGAGGGCTGTGCGGCCACCCAAAGAAATGCCACCCCACACCATGACTGACCCACCGCCAAACCGGTCATGCTGGAGGATGTTGCAGGCAGCAGAACGTTCTCCACGGCGTCTCCAGACTCTGTCACGTCTGTCACATGTGCTCTGTGTGAACCTGCTTTCATCTGTGAAGAGCACAGGGCGCCAGTGGCGAATTTGCCAATCTTGGTGTTCTCTGGCAAATGCCAAACGTCCTGCACGGTGTTGGGCTGTAAGCACAACCCCCACCTGTGGACGTCGGGCCCTCATACCACCCTCATGGAGTCTGTTTCTGACCGTTTGAGCAGACACATGCACATTTGTGGCCTGCTGGAGGTCATTTTGCAGGGCTCTGGCAGTGCTCCTCCTGCTCCTCCTTTCACAAAGGCGGAGGTAGCAGTCCTGCTGCTGGTTTGTTGCCCTCCTACGGCCTCCTCCACGTCTCCTGATGTACTGGCCTGTCTCCTGGTAGCGCCTCCATGCTCTGGACACTACGCTGACAGACACAGCAAACCTTCTTGCCACAGCTCGCATTGATGTGCCATCCTGGATGAGCTGCACTACCTGAGCCACGTGTGTGGGTTGTAGACTCCGTCTCATGCTACCACTAGAGTGAAAGCACCGCCAGCATTCAAAAGTGCCCAAAACATCAGCCAGGAAGCATAGGAACTGAGAAGTGGTCTGTGGTCACCACCTGCAAAACCAGTCCTTTATTGGGGGTGTCTTGCTAATTGCCTATAATTTCCACCTGTTGTCTATTCCATTTGCACAACAGCATGTGGAATTTATTGTCAATCAGTGTTGCTTCCTAAGTAGACAGTTTGATTTCACAGAAGTGTGATTGACTTGGAGTTACAATGTGTTGTTTAAGTGTTCCCTTTATTTTTTTGAGCAGTGTATTTGTGGTTTATTGGAGGTCTTTCAGTTAATTATTTTTGGCCACCCATCCCATGAGAGTGAATGTCATTCCAGTTAATCTGAATGTCATTCCAGTGCACTGCTTGCTATGAATTCTATCTGATGGTGTTTGCATGTTGCCCTAAGAGTATTTTCAAGTATTATTGTGGCAGCATCATGTTATTGGGATACTTATCACTGGCAGGGACTGGGGAGTTTTTCAGGGTCAAAATAAATCTGAAAGGAGCAAAGCCCAGATAAAAAGAGGAAACCCTGCCTCAGTCTTCTATACTGAACAAAAATATAAAATGCTTACATGCAACAATTTAAACGATTTTACTGAGTTACAGTTGGGAGCCAGGATCACCCACTGGGGAGCCAGGCTCAGCGGTAAGGGTTGGTGTGAGGTGTGACCCAGGTGCTGTGCAGGATAGACAGTAGGCAGAGATGGTGAAACAAGGATCTTTACTTGTGGTCCCGAAGCCAGGATACAAAACAACGAACACGATAAAAGAAAGGTGGAGCAAATAAGTCTCCAAAAACAGGCTGACAGCCAAAATACGAAATAGTAACTACGACTGAAATAAGAAAGAAACAGGGAGAACACTTCTCGTGTACCTGTACATACTTCTCCAATCAGAGCATAGAGACTAGCAGAGAAAACTGAGCAAGGGAACACAGGGAAGTGAGGGCTTAAATACACAGGTGAACAGATAGACACAGGTGACACCAATAGGATGATGATTAGTCCCGACTGTGAGTGAGGAGGTGCCTAAGGTTGTCGGAGGATGACATCTAGTGGGTCGCTCCGGAACTGTGACCCCCTCCTGTAACAGTGCCCCCCGCCGACAAACGGCTCCAGCCGTTCACCTCGGCGCCTCCGGGTGGAGGCGACGGAATGTTGTTATCAGCCATGGATCCAGAATGTCCCTCCTGGGCACCCTGGACCACTCCTCTGGCCCATAACCCTCCCAATCCACCAGAAATTGGAGACCCCTCCCCACCCACCGGCAGTCCAGATCCGGTCCACAGTACAAGCCTGCTGCCCTCTGACGAGGCGCAGCGGGGGAACAGGACGAGAAGGGGGAGACAGGTGGAGACGGGCTTGAGGAGGGACACATGGAACGTGGGATGCACCCGCATGGTGAGGGGAAGTTGCAGGCGGTAAGACACTGGGTTGACTCGCTGGACCACTCTGAATGGCCCGACGAACTGGGGGGGACATCTTCCTGGACTCCACGCGGAGGGGACGATCCCGCGTGGAGAGCCACTCCCTCTGTCCTTGGCGAAAAACCAGGGCCGGGCGACGCCTGCGGTTGGCCTGATGTTGAGACCTGACCGAGGCCTCTTAAGCGCCGCCCGTACCTGCCTCCAGGTGCGGCGACAGCGACTGATGTGGGACCGACGGGACCGCCTCCTCCTCCTCTTGCTCGGGGAATAGGGGGGGTTGGTACCTGTATTGGCACTGTAAGGGGGAAAGGCCGGAGGACGAGCAGAGAAAGGTGTTGTGGGCGTACGCCGCCCACGCCAGTGGCTGACTCCATGTAGCTGGGTTGCTGGAGGCATAGCACCTCAGCACCCCCTCCAGATCCTGGTTGATGCGCTCCGTCTGCCCGTTCGACTGGGGATGGAAGCCTGAAGACAAGCTGACGGAGGCGCCGAAGCAGGTGGCGAACACCTTCCAGAACGTGGAGGCGAACTGAGGGCCCCGATCCGACACCACATCTTGAGGAAGGCCATGGACCCGGAAAACGTGCTGCACCACCAACTTAGCTGTCTCCCGGGACGACGGGAGTTTGAGAAGGGGAATGAAGTGGGCAGCCTTCGAAAACCGGGATGACTGTGTATCCATCAGAGGGGGGTAGGGCGGAAATTAAATCCAGCGAGATGTGGGACCAGGGGCGCTTGGGGATAGGCAGGGGTCGGAGCAGCCCTGCCGCGGGCTGACGTGAGCTCTTCGTGCACGCGCACACCAGGCAAGCAGCCACGAATGCGCGCGTGTCCCCCTCAGCTGATGGCCACCAGAACCTCCTACGCAGGAACTCCAATGTCCTGGCACCCCCAGGATGGCTGGTGAGGTCGGACGCGTGCGACCACTGAAGCAGTCGCGAGCGCGGAGCCTTGGGTACGGACCTCCGCCCGGATCGAGCTCCCGCCGTAGCGCTGCTCTGACCAGCCTATCGATTCCCCACGAAACTGGGGCAGCAATCAGGTCGTTGGGGACAATGGGGTCGTCCCTCTCCACCAGGTCCACGGGGTCGAACTGCCCGAAGAGCGCGTCAGGCTTGGTGTTCTTCGATCCCGGACGGTATGAGATCGTGAACCGGAACCTGGTGAAGAACAACGCCCACCTGGCCTGGCGTGAGTTGAGCCTCTTGGCCCCCTGAATGTAGGCTAAGTTCTTATGGTTAAGGCTAAGCTCACGGTTCCCCACGTCGTAATTCCGCTCCGCCGGGGACAGCAGACGGGAGAAAAACGAGCAGGGGTGAATCTTACCGTCCATGAGGAACCGCTGGGATAGGATTGCCCCCACCACAACGTCTAAAGCATCCACCTCCACAATGAACATTAGGGACGGATCAGGATGCCCTAGGACCAGGGCCGATGTAATGCGCCGCTTAAGCGCATCGAATGCTTTCCCCACTTCCGGGGTCCAGGCGAAGGAGCGCATGCTCGTCTGGGTTGAGGGCTGTCAGGGGAGCAGCAAGGGAGCTAAAATTAATAAATAAATCGGCTATAAAAATGAGCTAACCCTAAAAAACTTTGTAGTTGCTTGAGGGAGGAGGGCTGGGGCCAATCCGGTACCGTGTTGAGGAGGAGGGCTGGGTCCATCCGTAGGTCCCCCTGGGTGACGATAAACCCTAGGAAGGAGACTGTCTCCGTGTGGAACATGCACTTCTCCGCCTTGACGTAGAGCTGGTAATGGAGGGCGTTGAAGGACCTGCCGAACGTGCTGCTGGTATTCACTCATGTCCTTTGAAAATATTAGGAAGTCATCCAAATACACGAAGACGCTGTGGTCGAGGAGATCCCAGAGCACGTCATTGACCAATGCCTGGAACACCGCAGGCACGTTGGCTAGACCGAACGGCATGACTTGGTACTCGTAATGCCCACTGGGTGTGTTAAAAGCAGTCTTCCACTCGTC